AATTAAACGTAATAAACATCGGAAATACATTGGTCTGTGTGCATTGCATGAATATAATGTACAAGTTTCACGTTTTGAATGGAATTACTGAAATATTTTCAACCTTTTGATGATATTCTAATTTACTGGCCAGCACCTGTACAAACCAAAAACATTCAATTCAATTCAATTCAAATTCAATTCAATTCAAAGATACTTTATTAATCCCAGAGGGAAATTAGAGTTTCAGTACACACAATTCTGAGATCAGATGTACATACATAGGCAAAGACACATGACAAGAATTGGTGACTGTGGTCATTCGCAACCCGAGTCGCGCTACCTTAATAGAGATCAGAGGGTTTACATGAGGATTGAGTCAGGTGGAGGAAAAAAAGGCACTTCAGAGTTACCCTCCACAGGGAGGGAAGCTTTGCTATGCAAAACACACCTCAGACAGAAATGCAACAGACTTCAGACATTACACAACATAAGTGTCCACTAGGTGGGGTGGAAGGGTTGGGGACTCTCCACACATCAGTGCATGCAGCCGCAATAAGCAGCGCTCGTCCCCTCCATTTGGACAGGGGAAGGAAGTATGTGGATTAGAAAGCACAGTGACTCCTGGAAACGATTCAACGGCCTTCACCGGTCGCAGTCCCCCCCAGGCTGGGATAGGGAGACAGAGTTGCCATGGCGACGGCAGCATTCCACATTTCTTCTGAGGGGGAGTAATCTCTTCAGCCTCACAGGCTCAAGGGCACCAGATTCAGATAAGAACTTGTTTTGGGGCCAGACAGAGATAATTTCCTCTGTCTTAAAGTTCTGTTGATCTCCAACCCCTCTGAATCCAATAAAGGCGTAGATTAATCCATCCCAATCCGTGCTGATCCGTCAACTCGCTCCTTGATGGCATCCACCTTCTGTGCCTGAGTCTGAATCTCAGCCAAAGTTCCAAGCTTACGACTCATCTCGACAATTATACGAGTTTGTGCATTCGCAGCGCGGTGTAATCCATCCCTGAGCTCCGGGATTGAGCCAATATTCCTCGACAGCTCATTAATTTTCCGGTAAGCCAGGTAACCACTCAGGCCAAACAGCACGAAACCTGACACCAACACCACGAATATCCAGACGTCTTCAGAATCCTCTACAGACAGTTGAGAGAGGCAGATCAGGTTCCACTGTTTCCAGGAGTCCATGATATGCCCAGCTGGCTCTGTCTCAGAGGGGCAACCAGGAGCTCCTTCTCCCGTTCTCATCAATGAAAAATTGGTGTCAATCGCGTTGAGAGACCAACTGACCAGGTCCATTTGAATAATTTCCAGTTTCCAGAAAAAATGCAGAAATGCTATACACCCAAAGACAGACAAAGAGCCTTGGGATAAGATAGGGAGGAGAGGAGGAAAAAAGCGTCTGTACTCTCCAAGAACTGGAAGAAGATGATTTACCCCCCCCCCCCCTTTTCAGAAGTTCTGTGTGACTTTTAACAGAAATACAAGTGACAGTCATACCCAGTGTAATTGTAGATGTCAAGTTTTATTTTTGCTAAGCTAACCCCCACCCCATCCCATAGAGACCCATGTAATTTGAATTGAGCACCACTCCGCGTTAGCCAATAGCGTTAGACATCCACTTACAGCTGACGATCAGAGAGCACACGTGCATGTTTGTTAGACTGCTGTACAGAACTCAAATGAATCTCTGAACCCTGCAAAGTGATGCGTGATGGAACATCACATAACTGTACAAACATCTCACCCTGCATGATCACATGCTACATTTAACTGACTTTGGTTTCAGGTGATGTCAGCAGAATTAGGTTTTCTGGTAAATATCTATGAACATTCTTACTGTCTATATTCTAGAATAGTATGCTAGAAAAGGGTTTCTGGTATTTTGCTTGTTTTATTTTATCTTACTGTTGGTGAGAATTTTAAATAATCAGCTATTAGGTGCATTCATATGAAAGAGGAAATAATTATTTGCCTTTTAACCCATGCATTAGATGACTTAAATGGCCCTAAGTAATAATTTAAAAACAATGACAAGAAAATTTCAAACTTGTAGTCTCCAATAGATTTTAAAGCTGGATATCTAAATGTGTATTTGCTGCTACATATAAAAAGTTTTATCTCCTGGTGCAAAAGCAATCTTTGGCCAACAGAGGTCGCCAAACGACCATTATAACAGTCTAATATGCTGTCATGCTTCTCACACTACCCTGAACTACATAATAGAGGCCTTGTTAAGAGTCAGCTCTTTGTCCTGATCCTCTGCATGATCACACCCTGGTTTGCTGGTGTTAAATAAATAAACAAGTGTTTGTTTGTGAGGGCATTTCTAAGGTTTTCAGAAAACTAGCCATCACGTGAGGTTTTCATTGTCTAATCACCTTTATTTCTCTTTCTATATTGTTGTTGTTCTTAATTTATTTTACTTTGTACTGACAGACTTTGAAAAGTCTTCCAGATTTATATGAGTTTTAAATTGTTGTTTTATGTCTTTTATGTAATGATAAAGGACTATTTTAAACAGTTTGGGTTAAAACTGCTATTGCATTTGCTAATAATTACAGTCAAACATAAGCAAACAAATGACAATCATTGAATATGCTAATATGTTGTAAAATGAATAACTCACTATCATAAGAAGATTTCAAGAGAACTGACTTTTTTACCAAAAGTTATTCACATGGACCACAAACAGCAGTTCAAAAGGGGATTTGAAAGGGAAAAACTGTGGAGCAGGTGCTGTTTGTGTCACATCTTGTCCACAAGTCCCTCCTAGATCAGCAGTAAACCCCCAAAGGGTTCCTTTTATGGTCTCACTGCAACGACGTAAAATTACAAGCAGAAAACAGTCATCTAATGCCCAATCAAAACATTTTAGGGAACATTGCATCCTCCTGTGCTCCACTGTAGCAGAAACAAGTTCTTGGCTTGCGTGTGCCTTGTTGTCATTGCACTACTGGGCCCTCAAAAGAGGAAACAGCAAGGGATCAACAACATGTGTTTTACCATTACAACATATTTCCATGTCTGAGAAATTAAGGTAAAAGATAAATAAACAAAACAGAAAAGATTCACCTTCTGCTTCATTTTCTATCACACCACTGTCATGACACCTTACATCTTGGCTTAATGGAAGCTGAATTGGTGGACAACTCTTGCAGAAAAGTGGTCGTTTAAAATCGCCTGTGAATCTAAAAATTTCTCCAACTAGTGACCCAACTCTGGCTTTGTGCCTCCTTCCAGATAAGAGGAACGAGTGTGGGAGCTTTCAGCCCACCGAGTACTGAAATACACCACCACACACGGCCGAATGCATCATCTGAGAAAAGCCATGGTGCTGCAGAGAAAATTCTTAAATGTAAAAAGAATCACTGTTTAAAAATGCTAAAGAAGACTATTGATTAATAGATCTATCTCAGTGGCTTAGTGGTGGAGCACCCGCCCTGGGACAAGGTTCAAATCCCAGTCGGGTCATACCAAAGACTTAGAAAATGGTACCCAGCACCTCCCTGCTTGACACCCAGATTGGGGGTTGGACCACCAAATTGTTCTCGAGCGCAGCCACAACTGCAATCTCCAGTTTGTTTTTGTGAGTTGTCACCTATATTTTAACAGTCAAAAATCTTTTTGTGGACTTCTTTGTATTTTTATTTTCTGGTTTTGATGATCCAGTCACAGCAGCATGTTATTTAACAGATTTTTCCTTTTGAACACATTTAATTTGAGAACACAGCTTTTTTAATCACTGTCATCTTTTTCAGCTCAGCAGCCTGATTGTGATAGAAGTGCTATACATACTTCTCACCTTATATGTGAGATTTCCAGTGCAAAAACGAATATTGAAGAAAGTAAAAAGAATGGCTTTTAGACATTTAATTTAATTTTTGTCTAAAAAATCATCTTATCTCAAAACCGCACTACTTGAAATGAGGCAAGTATTCTTCAACATGATCAAATTTTCTTGTCTAGTACAGAAATCTGTCAATGGTGTATGCAAACATTACTGGGCTACAATTCTTAAAACCAGCAAATGAATCTAATGTTAATCATCATCACACACTGGTGAAACTACATCTCTGCATTTGACCCATGGGGTAGCGGTGAGCTGCAGCTGTGGCTGCGCTCAGGAACTATTTGGTGGTTATCAAACGAGCCAGGTTTTGAAACGACGACTGGAAGCCAATTTAAATAAAGTGCCAAACGAAATAATGTGGACTAGAATAATAGAAGACTAGACAAATAGAACAGCTGATGAGGCAGATCATCAAATGTCAAACCACTGTCAGAATATTCTCAGGTTTTAAATGGGCATGGTCAGAAAATAGCCAGCTCCACCGGACATCTGCAGAATATTCAGCTCTGAATCAAACACTTGCTCCCCTGTGATTAAAAGATTTTACATATCATATAAATCTGAAGCTGTATCTCTAGCCTGGAGGCAGGATGTCAGCCAGAACTCCTAATGTTAAGCTCTTATTACATAACCCGGGGTGCTCCGTCAGATCGGACACTCTGGACTACAAGCAGGTCAGAGTAAATCAAATCTTCAACCCCCATGTAATTAGCCAGGATCTGAGCGCCCACTGCTCTGCTAAACATGAGCATCAGGCTTATAAGTCAAAGGCAGATTTATTATAGGGATCTTGCAAAGGCAGCTCGAGTTAAGACGCTGTGCTGCAAAGAGCAGCAGTGGGACCTGCTGGGTGCCTGTCTCAGCATAGTAGTCAATATGGTATCTTCCAGATCGCTGGAAGAATTATAGGCCATCCCCCACTTTTTGGATATCTTGCTCGTTTTTCAGCATTGGCATATCAAAATCCTTTAATCTCACACGATGTCAAACATCCGTCTTACTGAGGCTTTTCGATTAAATATCTTGCGCTGACAAATAAAATCTCCACAGATCCGAAAGCAGCTGTGACATGCTAACGTTAGGATGCTAGCCACTTGCCTAGGTCAGGTGGAAAAACCAGGAAGCAAAATACAGCGAAATAAAGCACAACGTACCAGGACAGTTACTGTGTAGACAGCCGCACACGCGAACAGACCGACCAAAGCGTTCTTGTCACCTTATTAGTTCCAGGCGCCGGTGGAGGTGGTAGTGCAGCTCTTTTCCTGCTCTTTTTCCTACTCTGCCGTTTAGACTCGCCGGGGCTCTCTCGAGGAAGCCATTCGCTTCCATTGATATCTTTCAGGCTGATTTTGTCTGTTTTGTTTAACGCTGTAACTGTTACAAATTGAAGTCGCCGAAAACGTACTAATAAAGAAATAAATCTGTGTATTGTAGTCCTCTTGGCTGCTGCGTGCAGAGCGACTCAGTGTGGGCGAAACCATTTGCTCTGCGAGAGGGGGAGGGGGTCCCGGATGAACTGCTGAAGTTTGAATTCACAAACTGACAATAAACGTTACGTTTTACCCACGTGAACTGAATCCGCCTTAGCCACATTTTTACTAGTTATAATAGTCGAAAATATGCTTTGCTCCGTTATTAAACAACTTTGTGTTTTTTGTGTGTAAACTAAGTTTTAATGCCGCTCTTCCGCCTGCGCGCTGACACAAACAAGGAGCTGCCTAGCAACTGTGTCGCTGTCCTTGGTGCTAAAAAACATCCCCACCGATAATGGGCGCGTCCCTGTCAGAGTACATTACCGTGTCATTCTCTGGCCCAAAACACCCTTCTTAAAGTATTTTCTGCATTTTTTCATTCTGTAATAATTAACACAGTGCATATGCTTTTCATTGAGTTTTGTTTTAACCCCATAATAAATGTTATCTTAGCGTTTTCCTAATTTTAAAATCGGTTAAATTCTTTATCATCTCAGATATAATATTGCGGCATATTTGCCTGTATATACGTCGGTTTTTATTAAATATCAAACCTCTGATCTCTGTAGGATATGTAATCGTATACCCATGTGCTCCTCCTGGGTTCTGTCATCAACAAAATCACACCTGGTACATGCAGTGATGTTAACGTTCATTAAACTGGACTGGAGTTTAGTGGGGAAAGGGTAAAATACAAAAACATAACACACTGGAGGATTTGTTTGAGTTTTATACGTGTTTTGCTTTTTCCAAGACTTGGACAAAATAGATTACCAACATTTAGGACTTCATCTCACTAAAGTAAATTAGACATTTACGTGATTTGGGGGCTCTACTGTGCTGATGTAACTTTAAAAAATCTATTTATATATTTGGTTGTTTACTTTTGCAGGAAAATGGTTTGAGAGATGTAAATTTGAAACTAATTTAATGGTTTTACCTAAGGTTGTAAAAAGTCTAAACTGGGATAGATTTAGTTATATCACTCATCTAATTTTAAATGACCTACTTCATACAAAGTAGTTCTCCCTTATGCATGGAAAAAAGGAAAACACTGAAGCCAATTTTTATGTATCTGTTTTAAACTAGAATAATCAGAAAATACAAGAACATGTTAGCAGAGTCAAACTCATTTCATAAAAATTGTATTGAAACTAAAATGTATATCTTTACCAAAAAGTGCATCTGAAATTAGTATTAAAATTGTTTGATGAAATACTTAATCTAAAATAAAACGTTTTTAAAAGGCATCACTTGTAGGTATTTGGGTACTATGACTATTTCAAAATAAATACAGTTATGGACAATGAAAAAAGTTTTTTACCTATGGCGTTACATTTAAATTCACAAGTAAAGCAATGCAATACAGTAAATAAATGCTTGTTTTTTATTAGACATGTACAGACACTCACTATCTTTTTTCTTAATTGTTTTTAAGTAGAAATCAGAAAAAATAAAGAAATGTGTGCCAAATAATTCCATTTTCTGTTAATATGTTATTATTGTTATTGCTATTACAGTTCTCATTTAAAAAGACAAGTTTAGGATTTTTGCAACACTTAACCAATGATCAATAATGGAGTCTGCTTCTCTTTATTTAGATTATATAGCAATAAACAAAAAACTACAGAAAATATAGTAATACAATATGTAAAAACAACAAAACACACACTAACAATTCATAATATATAATAAATAAATTCCTTCATGTTGAAAAGGAGTGGGAAGAAGCATACACTTATTTAATGCCTCTTCTTCACTGTAAATTATCTTTAGCCATTTATTCATGGCTTTTATATAATAATAATATACATACATTTAAAGACATATTATTTATTTGGACAAACCACTATAATCAGATTCGGTTTAAAAATATATTCTTCATCCATCATACCATAATAAATACTATTCAACACACTCATAGTTTAATTTATTTCGCACATTTTCCCCCCAAACAATGCGAGTTATTTTTTTAGAAGTCAGTGAATGCAGCGTCATCCTCATTAAGCGTTATCCCTGGGTATTCCCATTTGACTTGAACGCAGCACGGGACGACAGCAGGCAGAGGTGAAAAGTCTGGATCATGTTGTCATTCCAGCGCAGCCACACATGAACGACTAAAGGGCTCCACAAGAAGAAAATAACGAGGCGGGCATCGCAGCGCGTTCATGTCCACAAAGGAACATTATTAATGCCGTTTTTAACCAGCCCGTTAGAACAAGCTAATATTTGTTAGCTAGCTAACAGAGGACCCTGGTAGTAGCTAACGGCCACCATCATCGCTCTTTAGCCAGCTGTGGATCGCCCTGTCTGTCTTCCTACGATGGGAAACGCAGCAACTGCCAAGAAAGGCAATGAGCAAGAAAGCGGTGAGCATCTGGAAGGCGTCCAGTCAGCTTTTAGTCATTTTAACATAACTGCAGCACAACATGAGCTCGCTCATCATGTTGGGAGAGCATCCTTTAGCAGATGTTCAACATGACAATACAGTAACAGGGTTTTTGCATTTAAGAACCATCATTGGTTGGGCAGCAGTTTACAACACTCTGCGACTACGTCAGTCTGCTGATCGCAGTTAAAGCAGTCACTAATGAATAAACCGACTCATTAATGTGATGTCTGAGCATTTAAAAGTCTCCATCAGTCTGTGGGAGGTTTCCTGCAACAGTGAATGCAAAGAAAGAGTCGTCTAATTGTGTAACGGAGACCTTCAAGACAACCGGTTTGTTTTTCAAAGGTTCTAATGTCACGTGAGTGGAGTAGGATAACATCAGAAAACAAGCTGCAGCCCATCATGGCCTGGCCACTAAAAATAACGGTCAGACAAGTTGGTTCATTTGCTGTTTATCTAAATTTCACAAACCGTGTTTTCCTGCAGTGACATTAACTTGTTGAGCTATCTGACATCAGGAAAAGGTACCAGTCATGTGAGTCAAAATGCATCTTCTGGAAATAAAAAAAAACCTTCAGGATGTCACATGCATGCTGCTGCTGTTGTGAGTGGCCAATCTAATTCACTAAAGTGTACCATACACCTAGTGGCCTGTCTGGAGGGGGCTGCTGATCTTGACCTGCTTTCTGATTGGTGGGAGTTTTACACAGCCTCATGGACTTGTGACTCAAGTCACCACCTGTACTTGCTGCAGGGTGAGGTTGAGGATACAATAACTCCTGAAAACCACAGACTAACAAAGCATGTCAACAAATTCTCACCAGGTAATCCTGGCAGGTTCAAACTAAGAAAAGAGGATTACTTTATTTACTGAAGATCACTTTTCATTTAACGAGCCTCTATGTTTTAAAGTTGCTGTGTTTTCTATTGATGCAAACTATCTAACAAATCAGTCCTCTCCCTCTTGAGGGTGATTGGGGTTTTTTGTTGTCCATGTCCAAGTGCAAGATAGTTTTGTTACATACTTGAAAATTGGGGTGAAACTGTAAGGATCACAAATCATCAGATGGTGATCTCCAGCTTTTACTGGAGCAGTTTGCAGCCAGGATGAGAATCCGCTTGTCCAAATCCGAGACCATGGTCTGGAGTCAGAAAAGGGTAGAATGCCTTCTCCAGGTCAGAAATGAGGCTGTGCCCCAAGTGGAGGAGTTTAAGTATCTCGGGGTTGTGTTTATGACTGAGAGAAAGGTGGAGAGGGAGATCGACAGGCGGATGTGTGCTCTTGGTGTTGTACCGGTCTTTCGTGGTGAGAAGAGAGCTGAGTCTAAAGGTGAAGCTCCTGATTTACCAGTTGATCTACGTTCCTACCCTCATCTATGGTCAGAAGTTTTGGGTAGTGACTGAAAGAATGAGCGGACAAAATGAGTTTTCCTCACAGTGTGTCTGGGTTCTCTCTTAGAGATAGGGGGAGAAGCTCAGTCATCTGGGAGGGGCTCGGAGTAGACCTGCTGCTCCTCCACATCGAGAAAAGCCAGTAGAGAGGCATCAGGCATCTAGGATGCCTCCTGAACACCTCACTGGTGAGGTTGTCCAGGCACTTCCAACGCGGAGGAAGCCTAAAAGGAAAACTCAGGACAAGCTGGAGGGGCTATGTTTCTTATCTGGCCAGGGAACACCTTAGGATTTCCCCGGAAGAGCTGGACCAGGTGGTTAGGGAGAGGGATGCTCTGCTTAGGCAGCTGCTTCCTTGATCTGACCCCAAGGAAGAGGAGGATATTAATGGATATATGGATGAGATAGCTCACATCAGAGGAGAACTAAAAGTTTGAACTAAGGTAAACCTCTTGGACAAGAAGTGAAACATTTTCAAATATGTAGTCTGGTTGCTTTTGTTTGATCCTACAAGGATTCCCAAGCCCTGGATGCCTGAGAAAATTCACTAGCATGTTGTCGGGATTTCTCTATTTTTCAAATATTGGACCTGATGTTTGTAGTGCCATAAACTGGTTCAATTCAAACCCCTTTTAAAACTATGCCTCAAATGTTAAAGCTGTGCACCAAAAAAAAAAAAATCTAATTAGCTTGATGGTAAATTTCAGGAAAACATACTAACTGCACTGTGTAACATATCCACCAGAGAGCACAATAAGCTGCAGGTGACTTGTTAAGTTAGTCTGTGGGCGGAACACTTTCATTTTATCAACAGTCCTGTTGCTCAGTGCTTTTAACTTGCTGCGTTCTGCTTATTTTGCATTTCTCAATCTAAACAACACGACTTGCACGCAAGACAAAGCAGTCATTTCAGACGACCCCACACCAAGAAGCTGGACATGCATTCGGCCGCTGACACTGAAGCAGACTACCCTAACAGGAAGCTTAAACTTTGTGGTTAACCAACCACAGAGCATTTGACTTGAGACAGGAAGTTAGCATCATTGGTGTTTAGGGGCTGTAAACGGTTGCTTTGCTGTGAGTATTCTCACATACATCAAGATAGTTGCCTTAAAAATGGCTCAGGGAAAGGATCAGTCCTTTGCCAGCCGTTTAATTCACAAATATCTAAAGAGTGGACAAGAGCACAAAGGGCTGGAGACTGAGGTGCCTCATATCTCCGAATTCACCGTCATGTGGGATAAGTTGAGTAAGTGTAGTGCTTTTTTTTTATTTGCCTTTATCTGTGTTTAAGGCTCTCTTTAGCTTCGAGCCGGATGAGTTGTAACTTGTCTTTTACAAAAAAAATGCTGCTTTTATGAAAAACTCATTACATCAAGCAAAAGGTATGTGTGTCAAAACTATAAAGGTAGTAGTCTCCAATTTTCTCTGTTCCAGCGTTTATTTTGCTCACCAGCTTCCCAAATGCTTTTATAACCAGCAACATTCACACACCGCTTTTCTGGATCTAGCCAAGACTTTGGTGAGGTCTTGTTGGACCATCTTAGCTCAGAGTTGCTTAAAATCCATTTTGTCTTTCAGCATTTTAACAGATGTGTTTTATCATTTTTGTGCACCGACCTGCTGGTATGAAATGTATTTTATGTGGGCTTTTTCCCAGTGTCTTTTCAGTCAGTGTTGTTTTTGGTCTTTGTGACAAAACAATAAGTCTAATTCTGAAGAGTCACAACTTAAAGGAGATAAAAATCCATTTTTCAGTTGTAAACAACTCAAAAATCTAATTGTTGCTGCATGACAGGATGTAAACATCCTTAACTGTCGCTGTAAATTACAGTTTTTAGATGCAGTAGAAAAACCAACATTTTTTCAGTCATGGTGAATTAACATTTGTCTTGTGGTAAGGTTGTCTCACATTGTCTTTAGCGTTTCTGTTTTTCATGTGATTCTAAAATGTTCTGATTTTTAGCTCTTTATAAATTTCTCTTCCTCTCTTTTTCTTCTTCATCATTTCCATCCATGTGGGTGAATGTTCCTGCAACCCCTGGGTGAACTGTAGAGACTTTTGGTATGCTCATTTTTCCACGAGACGTCCCAAGTCACAGAGAGAACGTTTGTTATGCTTTTTAAACGATTTAAGGACTTGTACAGTCTCCAAAAAATCCAGTAAAATGCACCTTTTGACAGTTGATCTAAATCCTGGGTGCAGTTAAATATAATACACGAACAACATGTCAGTTAATAAAGCTGGAAAGGAAATTAGTTTTTTGTTTTAATAAAAGTATTGATCTGTTTGACTAAAAATAACTAGGGCAGAGCAATATAAACACTTCTTATTTCAATGCCAATATATTTCAATTTAAATCTAAGAGTAAGACAACACAAGCCTCGGACATTTGTTAGGATTCAATCAGTTCACCAAATGATCAAAGGGTGAACTCATGAAACATAATTATTCACCTACAACCTTTCTCACAAATAACGACCTCTCTTTGCATCTCTGAGATGTTATTCATATATCTAACCTTACTTCTGACCTTTTTAAGCTCTTATAGTGAATCTGCAAACAAGCTAGGATTTGAACGCAAACTCGATCTCGGAACACTCACCCCTCTCCTCGGGTATCTTCCCTGTGATGCCTCTGCCAGAACCGGCGATGCTGGAGGAAACCAGATAGTGCTAAACACCAGTGGCCATTTTCTACGTCTAAACGTATTTTGTTGTCCGTGACTTCAAATGGTGTTTTTCTTTTTGGGACTCTTAATAGTTTGTCTTAAAGTTGAAGTGGTAGCAGCCGACTGTTTCTCCTTCTCTGATGTTACTGAGCCATGAACATCTCACACCATCGGTGTTCTGTTGCTAAATGCGCAAACATGTAATGAGTGGAGGACCCAGGGAAGTGCAGCAGTTCGGTGAGACGGACAACCGGGTGGTCCAGTGATTGGTTTCGGTCTGAAACGTGTAATAGAGCTCCTGGAGTTGACGTCACTTCTCCCAGCATGCAACAGTTCAAATCGAAACGGCGCCATCTTGGCAGGCAGAAGCCCGCAGCTGGGCTATTTGTTATTGTCAGAAAACTCAATCAGACAGGAAATATGGTAGATTCCTGTTGTGCCCCAGGATGCAGAACAGACGCGGACGACATAAGGAATGAGCCATCTACAGGATTCCCCAAGATCCGGAATGCCACAAACGTTGGATAATTGCAATGAAACGCGTTAGCCTCCAGGCTAAAATGAAACTGTGGGATCCTGAGAGTAAAGGTTTTCGCTTATGCAGCGACCACTTCATATCAGGTACTTAAACAACGTTTCCTCAACTGTGTATGGTGTTTATTTTAAATGCTTTTATTACGATTCTTAGTGGCCTTCCTAAACTTACTTTGGCGTGGCTTTATCTGTCTTATTACTCATAGCAGCAAGTAAACATCACGTAAAACGTTGCCTCGTGATTTCTGCGTGCTGCCTTTTACGTGTTTTATGATCACAGCAATTAACCGGCTAAGCTGTATTTAATTTTTAAGCAGTGGTTGATCAATTGTCAGATCACACATAAAATACACTTTGGATTGATATTATCTGTCTCACCAAGACAGATCTCAGACAGATCCTGAGACGCTCCTGCCTGACATATTTATTTTATTCACGGGAAAAAATCAGACTAGTGATTTCTCTTGGCGTTCAGTTTATACATTCAAACAGCACAACACTCCATTTAAACTTCTTACATGTATTTGTCCATCCTTCCATCCATTTTCATCCGCTTATCCGGAGTCAGGTTGTAGGGCAGTAGCCTAAGTCGAGAGGCCCAGACCTCCCTCTCCCCAGCCACTTGGGCCAGCTCCTCCGGGGAAATCCCAAGGCGTTCCCTGGCCAGGTCCGCTCTGACAGCTTCTGGCGTTTTTAAAAAGTATCCCAGCGGCATGGAAAGGGTCAGAGATGTTTAGTCTATTTAATTTCTGACTATATAAAACAATTTCTTCGGTTTTAAAGTGTGAAGTAAACTCCGACGAAGTAAAATCCAAGCCGATCCCGTTCATTTTGTTTACCTTTGTTGCCTGCCAACATGGCGTCTAGTCTCTGAGAGTCACGTGACGTCCGGAGCTCTATTGGCAGAGGTTTTAAGACAAATGCGAGAGAGCCGCTTTATTATTCTTTTTTTTATCTCCACAATATATTTATAGCTATAGTTAAAACATTAACCCTTTAAATTTACAGGTTTAATGAACGCAATGGGTTTTTTTCCCCATGGGTGGGATGCTGGAATGCTAAGGAGTTAAGAGGCATGGAAACGGAAAATGTAAAGCAAATTTGATAACTTAAATAAATAAATGTTTTACAAGGAACTTCTTTATCTTCACAAAACATTTAAACGTTGTCACTTTTAACCAGCATGATTGTGTTTCCTGTACACCATCTTGATTCAAACGTAGAGTTGTAGTTAGTTTTCTTCGACCTTTGACTCAACGTCCCACTTTCTTGCAAAAAGGTGGATTTGTGTAACTGTTTGGAAATGATCGGTTTAAGCAGCCCCATGAACCAACATGTGAATCAATGTAAATGAATAAGTAACAGATTACCAAACGCTAACATCAGTGAGGCTGCAGGCGACTACCAGTGACTCTTTGACTTTGGACGGCTCATGTCTGCTGTGACTTTACCAGTGCACCATCTTTCCACTGCCTGCCTCCGTGTTCTCAGTTACATGTATGTTGTGCCTTTTGTCGTCCTCTCTGCCCACTCGCTGTTAGTGCCTCTTCTTTTATTTCAGCCACTCCTGAAAGAGATGCACAATAGCTTTTCTGGAATTTGGCCAGTTTTCTAAAGTTCACAGAGCTCTTTGCATCACTTTATGAATTAGGATTTTCCTGCTTAGGCGTGTTTTTTAATTTTTTGTTTGTTTTGTTTTTTTGACTTTTTAATTGAACTAATGTTCTGTGCAGTTCTCACTCCCCAACACTCGACACATGCCTGATCTTAGAATGCATTTATTCCCGTGAATGTGTGACCTGCCTTTTTTTGTTTGATTTCCTTTACTCACAGTGAGTTGTAAGTGTTTTATTGTAACTCTCTTCTTTTATAGTGAAAGAGTTCTTAGCTAAAGCCAAAGAAGATTTTTTAAGAAAATGGGAGTGTCCGCCACAAGTAAGTAGGCTTTTATTTGCACTTTGATTTGTATTATTTAGCTGTCACGTGTTACTCACATACGTTCACACATTTAAAAAAAAAGGTACAAGTTTTGACACAATGGCTTCTTCCTCTAGTTCAAAATAGCTTAGAAAATGCTTGCTGACTGAGTAATTTTATGGTAATATGCTTTAACTTTAACATAAAGGAGAGACCAGAGTAATAAGAATAATAATGTAATTTCTAAAAGTTTACAAAACCCAAAAATTCATGCATTTGCAGCTTTATTTTAGCCTTATTTCTATTTGTGTTGTTTCCTCAGTGCACAACAACCCTGGATGAGTTTGAAAGGTACAAGACTCTGGGCACTGGCTCGTTTGGACGAGTAATGCTCGTGAGACACAAAGGAAGAAACCAGTTCTATGCCATGAAGATCTTGGACAAACAAAAAGTGAGTTTTCTGTCTTAAAATCCATCTGAAGCAGAGTTGTAAATGAGGCTTGTTTGTAAAAGGAAAAAGTCTGCTAAAATGTTTCAAGTAAATGCACATGCTGCATATCTGATGAAAGGAAATGGAGTGCTTCCTCTCATGCGCTGCTACCATATTATCACTGAAAGCCCCAAAGGGCCTTCACACGAGAGTTTCGATCTTTAAATACTGATGTGAAAGCAGCAGAGACAGTCGTGCATGTTCTCAATGTGCTCCTCATGTAGAGCTGCTCTGTTCTCCTAAATCTGGCAGCAGATTTGAGGGTTCAACCTGTCCAACTTTTAGTTTCACTTCATCCAAATGGCTGCAAAATTTTCTTTGACCCCTGTAGGATTTTTTAAACTCTGTCTCGATTGGTTCCATATAGTGATGCACCGATATGAAATGTTTGGGCCGATATTTAGATCGCTGTTATGGCCGATGACCGATATATGCCGATACCGATATACTGACATTAATGCATCTAAAATCAGCAATTTTGTATATAATGAAATATTTTCAAGCCGAATTTACACTATTATTGACACACAACACACACATTTATGCTTCTGAGATGATTTCATTCACTGTTCGCATGACTAAACAAATACACATCACCCCTTCACTCTCTGAAACAGGCAAACAAATGGAGACAAGATGGAAAAATATCAGTTGTTAATATCGGCTCAGTTTTATTTGTCAGACCGATACCGATGTGTTAAAAAATATCGAATATCGACCGCTACCGATATTGATGCCGATATATTGTCCATCCCTAGTTCCTTATCCCCCAAAGAGGAGTAAATGAGCTACTGGGCAGCAGTGGCTCAGGAGGTAGAGTGGGTTGTACAGTAATCAGAAGGTTGTAGGTTTGATCCCGACTCCTGCAAGAGAATTCTGCTGTTGTGTCCCTGGGCAAGACACTTAACCCCCTTATCTGCTGGTGGTGGTTGGAGAGACCAGTGGAGCCAGTGTTTGGCAGTCTCACATCCGTCACTGCTCCCCAGGGCAGCTGTAGCTCATCACTACCAGCATGTGAATAAGTGAATGACTGATTGTGTTGTGAAGTGCCTTGGGGGGTTGTAGAACCCTAAGAAGGCACTATACAAATACAGGCCAGTTACCATACTGTACTAGATGTTCATCTTCTGTTACAGCAAGTTTAGCATTACAGAGCCCAAAGCTTTAGTGTGACGATTAAACAAAACACTTTGAATTTACAGCTAAATTATTATAAACTTAAAAGTCAAAAACATTTCTGAAATATAAAAAAATACGATTTGTTGTAAGTATGGATGTCCGATATTATCGTCAGTGTCGGCGTCGGTTGTCAGTCTTTTTTATTTTAGCTCTGTTGGCTAGCTAGTGGTACATATTCAATAAAGGGGAGGCATTGCTTCCTTCCCTAATCACAGAAGTAGAGAGAGGAGCTTAAGGTATAACCTCTGGATTTCTCCTTTAATGTGTATGAATATCTTTGCAATTGTATTTCTCATACCATAATTCAAATTTGTTTCTCCTCCCTTTTGTTTTAGGTGGTAAAGTTAAAGCAGATAGAACACACGCTCAATGAAAAAAGAATTTTACAGGCCGTCTCCTTCCCCTTCCTCGTAAGATTGGAATACGCTTTCAAGGTAAAGAAGAATCTAAGAGGCCTTGTATCACAACAAGGTAGAATGGTTGATCAGTCAGTCAATTCTTCAAGATGGTTTTTGCCATTTTGAGTTGATTTAAAGGCAGGCACATTCATGGGCAGCAAAGCGCTGTGACATTTGACACCATGTCCTTTTCTAATTCACTTTTTATGATGGGGAACCGTTTCTTAGCAGGGGTGCTTTTTGAGCATCTTCTGTACGTTCATTCTGTGTATTTTGTCTACTTGAATTGCTTGGTTCTTTTACAACACAGGGAAAAAAGTTGTTTTTTTACCTTGTTTTGCCAACGTTTCGGCAAATTACTATAGCCATCCTCATAGCTGTGCCGAGCTGAGCTCTGAGCATGGCTATAGGCACTACATTACGCTAACTAATCAAAGACCATTGTATTTAAATAAAAGCTTTATATGTTTAATTGCTTTTTTAAAGAAATGTTACTGTAGTACATTTGAAAACAAGTGCCAGTCAAATACAAAAGCCTTTTTTTTTGTTTTCCTCTTTAAATCTAGTATACTGTATTGTGTATTACTATGAAACACATACTGACCAAAAATATCATAAATGTGTTTTAAACATTTTCCCAAATCAGCCATCAGTTGCAATGATTTTTAGTTATCTGCATCAGCTATTGAAGAACTAATAACTAGTAAGGGGGCTGCTAACAAAGTTTTCCTCCCAAATAAACGCTGTTTTCTTTGGTGTTGCCACAACTTAGCTTTGTTATGATGTGTATTTTTAACGTAATATAATCAGATAATGCAAGCCCAGTACATATCACTAAAGTCATCTAACTTCCTATCATTGGTCTTACTTTTCTTGACTTTGTCTGCTAAAGCTCTAATTGGTTAACTTGCTTTTGTAACTGCGTTCACGGGCTGTGGTTGGTGTTTGAGTGTGGCTCAGTCCTCAGTTTTAAACTTTGGTAATCAGGCATTTCTGATATATTTAAAAACAAAATCACAACTTCATTTGGCACATCTCCGTTAAGAACAAAGTCTGAAAACTGCTTAATTAAAGTAGAGTAAAATCAAAATATCCCATTCTCCTACCTGAAACATAAATATGGCTCCTTCCTTTGCTTGCAGGACAATTCAAACCTCTACATGGTGATGGAATATGTTCCAGGAGGCGAAATGTTCTCACACCTCAGACGCACAGGAAGGTTCAGGTAGGATTGGTGTTTTACTTTATTCTTTTGGTCTAAGGGGTCTCGTGTTTATCAACCGCGCTCATGTCTACGTTTGTTTGTTCCCCTCTTAGTGAACACCATGCAAGATTTTATGGAGCTCAGATAGTGCTCACTTTTGAGTACCTTCACTCTTTAGACCTCATCTACAGAGACCTGAAGCCTGAAAACCTGCTCATAGATCAACATGGATATATCCAGGTAACCAGTTTTTTTTTTAGGTTTTTACTAGAAAACTAATTAAAGGTTTCAGAAATGTACAAAACCTGCCGTTAAACTATTAGCTGAATATCAGTTAATGATTTAAATAAGACGTAATCTGTACACAACAGCTGTAGCAGGAAGCATGTCAGAGAGAACACAGATGGACAGTGTTAGACATTTTTGTTGTTTCACTCCAGGTCACAGATTTTGGCTTTGCCAAACGAGTAAAAGGCAGGACCTGGACATTGTGTGGTACTCCTGAGTATCTGGCTCCAGAGATCATCCTCAGCAAGGTGAGCCGCACAATCGCCATGATAAGTTTATGAGACAGGCCTCTACTAACAAAGGTGCTAAAAGTATGGTTTAAAGTGGGTTTGTGGACACAATCTCTTAAAGGTAAAGTAAGAATTTTACTGTGGAAAAATCACAAAACAGTCTATCCCCGGTTTCACGCTGAAGGCATCGGCGGCGCAGAACGGCAGTGGAACGTCACTGCTTCAAATAGAATCCATTATATTCTGTGGAGCATTTCAAACCAGCAGAGACGCGGCAATTTCCACGCGTCCCAGAAGCAGCACGCTAAGCCGCGCCACTAAAGATAGGATCGGGTTCTATTTTTGCCACGTGCCGCTTCTGGGATGCGTCAATTTCTGCAGTTAACATAGGGTTAGACAGGAAATCACACGGTTTCAGTGTTAAATCACTGGTGAATTTCAAAATAAAAGCACTGCAGCGATGCCGTTTCATATATATGAAGCTTACCTGTGACCCAATGGCTGATTTACTCACAGCATCGTTCCAGAAGTGCGGCGGTGTGTTTTTCATGGCTTTATTCCTGGCAGTGGAGAAGAACAACATCATATATGACATCAAACAGTGACATCAAACGTGATTTCCTTCTTTTTGGTTTAATGGCAGACTTCATAAACAAATGTGACCCGATGTCTCGAGGAATCTTGTAATCTAGCAAGTCCAGCAAAAAAGCACAGCGAGGAAGCCGTGCCGCTTCCAAGACTCTCCTGGTGTGAAAAGGACCGCTTTGAAGTTCACAAGTAAACTGTTCCGCTGCCGTTTCACTCCGCCGATGCTTCCAGTGTGAAGCCAGCGTCATGCCTTGATCATGTTGGAAGGAACATCTTTTGTATGTTCATTCTGTGTTTCATCCAACTGCGTTACAGTAATGCATGTTGGAAGGCAGGTTACATTATAACGGATTTACTTCTTAGCTTGCCGCCTCACCCTAACCACCACAAACACTGCTGCTCCAGCATTTGTAGTTCAACACTGGCCGGCAAAGAGCAGCATTGTTGTGGGAATAATACTATCCAGTAAAAGAAGCGACCCAGAAGTTATTTTCTGTAACTCCAAGAAGCCACTGCATCTTTTTGTTTTACTCTAATATCGGGTGAAAACGGCTACAGGAAAAGATAAGGGAGAAGAGAAGCGTGTGTACTCTTCGATTGCCGGAAGAATATCTGGCAACATTTGCACAGATGCTCATTTGTTTTGATACGTGGACTGCAGTACCCAAATCTGACCACAGAATGTCATTCTTACTTCATGCACCTTTAAGTACCCTTTTTGTGAGTCATAGCCCAATGTTACGCTGCTTAACAAACAGGTTCTTAGAGAGATTTTATGGTTTTATGAATGAAATAAAATGACCACCAATAGTTTTTAAGGCTAATTTAAGGTGAATTTTCCAACTTATTTCACGGTTATCCTGTAACTGTTGAGTCCTGGTTGGATTAATTTGTTTTGACTGTTTGACACAGCTGCATGGTGGTGCAGCTGATCGCACTATTGCCTTGCAGCAAGAAGGTTTCTGGTTTTAATGCCCCATGGACAGCCTTTCTGCTTTGAGTTAGTCTGTTCTCCCCAATGGTTGCATGGATTTTCCCTGGGTTCTCTGGTTTCTTCTCACAGACCTAAACCCAAGGTTTTAGGTCTGTGAGGAAGACGCTGTTTAGATGCATGTTTATGACACAGATTATTGAGCAGCAACAACATGGACTACTTAAAGCTTAAAGCTGTTACAGCGAATTAACTGAACAAGCTAGGGTTTGAACGCAAACATGGTCACATAACACCCACTCCACTCCACATTGCCAGAGGAAACGAGATAGTGTGAAACACTAAGTTGCAGTTTTCTAGGTCAAAACGTCTTTTGTTGTCCAGTGTTTTTCTTTTTGGGATTCTGGTAGTTTGTCCTAAAGTTGGAGTGGTAGCAGCCGGCTGTTTCCCCTTCTCTGATGTTATTGAGCCACAAACCTCTCATATCGGTGGTGTTCTGGTGGTGTTCTGTTGCAAAATGCGTGAGTGCGTAATAAATGGAAGACCCAAGGAAGTGCGACAGTTTGGCGAGACCAACAGCCAGATGGTCCAATTGTTGCTTTCAGTTTGATGCGCGTTATTGGTGGAGGTTTTTAGACAAATGCGAGAGAACCACTTTATTTATTTATTTATTTATTTTATCTCTTCATTATAGCTATATTATGTTAAGACGTTGTTAAGAGGCATGAAAAACATTTTCGAGCTCATTTATTTTCCTTATTTGTCATAGCAACTTAAAAAGGTTAGAGAAAACGATTTCAGTAAAATCTGACGTATTCAAACTGGATTAGAATCATTGGTTGACAGAAGTTTCAAGCACTAAATCCACCAGTTTGTTTGCTTGTTGGTGTATAAAAATAGAACGCAACCCCAATAGTTTGAGAAAGCAGACAAATGCATTCTGTGGTGGGTTGCATTAAAGTGGTTAATCAGTTGACTGACTTCACTCTGGCTGCGTGTGTGTTTCTGTTGACTCAGACAAAATACTGAAAGTCAGAAGCCTTTCACACAAGCAAGAATTGAAGCTGACTGCTGCGCACAGCTGGTGCATCATCACTTGGAAAAAGACCAAATGAATGTTGAGGTGTTTAAACATCAGCCTGTCGGTCACAGCAGGATAACAGCAAACCAGGGAAAAATTGCATTGGAGTTCAAAACCTTGTTGTCTATCAACTAGTTATAAACTTTAAAAAAAACAATGGAAATGTTTCCTTTCCTCTTGGACAGAAATCTTTTAAACACATTATTAACTTGTTAAAAATGTTTATCTTGATGAGTTAAGGCACAAGACTTGTTAGACCTGCCCTCACATGATGTATTTTACCTTCTGACGTTAAAAGCTTTTTCATTTTTTCCAGGGCTACAATAAAGCTGTGGACTGGTGGGCACTTGGAGTTCTCATCTATGAGATGGCTGCTGGGTACCCTCCATTTTTTGCTGATCAGCCCATCCAGATCTATGAAAAGATCGTCTCCGGCAAAGTAAGCAAAGATAACATTTAGACTAGAAAACAGTAAGAAGTAATGTTGTCTCAAGTGTTGCTACTTCCTTCTGTTGCCTGCTGCGTCTCACCTTCTGTACAACTAGGGCTGCTCAAATAATCGAATTTTAATCACGATTACGATCTGAGTTTTGAACGATTATAAAAACAAAACAAGCCAATTATTTGCTCCTCCCACCTGCGCTGCCCCGAGTTGCAAATGAAGCGCTCCTCCCACAATGTTGCCAACTTGGCGACTTTGACGCTATTTCCAACAGCTTTTCAGACCCCCTTCTCGACTTTTTAAATCTTAAAAGTACCTAGTGAACACCTCAGAAACATCTCTGCTAACCCTTAGCTACTTTCTGGATAACTGTCGTCGACATTTCCTGCAGGTTTGCTAAACACTCCGCCTGCGCTCCGGACCGTTCTTCACAACATTAGGAAAGGGAATGATGTAGTGATGTGTCGGTCGCTAAAGAAACGGCTCTCGGAGCCGGCTCCCTGTTGGAGTAACCAGAGTGAGTGGCACACACACCGTACCTGCGGACTCCTGAGCCGCTAAAAATGGCTAAATGTGCGCGTGTGGCGCGCTAAACACACGTGCAGCTTGCCCCGATTGCTGAGACCGGGTTGGGGGGTGGGGGGTGCAGCTGTGGTTAGGACATTTATTACATTAAGTGATGGATTTGTAAATACATAGTTTATAAATAAGGTAGAAATAGGTTCCTCACGCTGATAAATAATAACTTATCTGTCTGAGGACACGGTGCTACTGTACTCTCCTACAGCACCTTGACACGACTCAATAAATGTTCTGCAACATTTTGTGAACATCAATTTATTTGCATTTATTTGTTATAAATGCCACTGTATAATTCTTGCTGTCAGTATTTGCAAGATATTGGTAGTTGGGTCTGTACTGGTTAGACTTAAATGAGTAAACCAAGGTCTATAGCCCTTGGGTCATAGACTATGAGCTATAAGTATATTGGTCTTTTTATACTGGGAATCAGGAGTTATTTTAGTGATCATCTTGTTTCTTATTTCTTTTTGTCCTGATTGTGCCCTGAGCAGATTTATGACTGAATAAAAACAAATGAAATCAACATAAATTGAAAAATCGTCCTAAATAATCGAGATCTCAATTTCAGTCACCATAATCGTGATTATTATTTTTGCCATAATCGAGTAGCCCTATGTACAACAGCAGCAGAAAAGTGAGTTTGTTTGTTTTTCTTAGTTTGTTCTGTTATTTTCCTTCCTCCTTTTGTAGGTACGATTCCCGTCCCACTTTAGCTCTGACCTGAAGGACCTGCTGAGGAACCTGCTGCAGGTGGACCTAACAAAGAGATATGGCAACCTGAAGAACGGCGTGAACGACATCAAGAACCACAAGTGGTTCTCCACAACGGACTGGATTGCCATCTATGAGCGAAAGGTAAATCTTGACTTTATTTATAGAGAGTGGGCGTGTCCTAACGCGCTTTATAGCACAGAGGCATGTTGTGATCCAACATCTAAATCTGCCTTCTCAGATCGAAGCCCCCTTCTTGCCAAAGTGCAGAGGACCGGGAGACACGAGCAACTTCGACGATTATGAAGAGGAGGACATTCATGTCTCACAGACGGAAAAATGTGCTAAAGAGTTTGCTGACTTTTAGTGAATGGGTACGAGTCCCATCAGGGCTCGGTTGTTTTGGGATATTTGCACTCTGCTGAGTGTTTCGGTGGAACCGAGGCCATCACACGCTCCAAATAGTTGCCTCGTTCTTCCATTCTACACGGCTGAATGAGGTTGTTTTTGCCATGCCCCTGGGTGCTGTGAGCACCAGTCCACACACAGACAAATAATCAAGACACCCCTCGTGCTGCAACACAAATTAACATGAAGCATCTTTCCCTCTTTAAGTTTTTCCAGCAACATGCATAGCAAGTTTTATTCCTATTTGCAAGAGGCACAAAGCATGATAGTATTAGCTGGTGAATATCACAAGGTTTGAACGAAAGGTAATTTTCTTTTTATTCAGTATCTGTTAACACCCCCCACCCCCACCCCCACCCACCCCCCCACCCACACACACACACACACACACACACTGTCTTTTAAGCTTCGGTTGAACATTCTCCAATCAAGATTGCAGCCAATATTTATCATGCTGGTGTTGCAATTATGTATGATCATATCTATTGAGACATTTTTTTAAGAGCATGACCAAAATTAAAATCTATTTTTCAGCAAAGGGGGAGAAACACAGATGAGTTCTGGTGAGTTTCTCTGCAGCAGGCATTCGTTTTGTAAACCGTTAGAAAATTCAACCATAATGGTGATAGGAGCTGTGTTAGCTAATCAACTGTAGCATTGTTCTTGTCGTTCATATCTGGTCGCAGGGCATTTACTTTTTACCTCAGTCAGTTCATGTGGATTTAATCAATGAAGAGACGTTTACATATGTTTCAGTTACAAATCTGTTTTGAGAGATTTGAATCTGAAGACATTTGTGCACATGACAGATCATTTAAAAAATGCAAACATGAGTGCACTGACGTGGCGTTTTTCAGCAGTTGCAAGGTTGATTTATTTTTTATTTTTTACTTGAGGGTATAAACATGGGTATGAAGAAGTGGTGCTCACGTGGACAAACTTGGTCCTCCAGGGTTGGCTTTTGTCTCTCAGATGCTGTGTTTGAGCAGAGCACTCATCAAGGATTGTGTATCTGTCACGTGTTTGTTTTGTTTTTCATGTAGCATGTTTTTGCTTGTACAGCAGTATCACCACAATCGACAGTGTTTCCACCATTTTGTTTATTCTGTCACCTTTAGATTGTTCCACGGCAAGTGGCTCCAGAACAGTGGAAGAGTGTGAGATCCCATTTGAACTACAGCCAAATCGTTTTGCTGTTATTATTCCACAACACAGATTAACCCACCTGCTTTCTGCTGTTTTACATTCTAGTTTTTGACTTAAAACTGGATCAAGATCGACTCATTCTGCGTTGTTGAGAACCACCAATGAACAAAAGTCATATTCTTCTTCAAAAGGAGTTAGTTTAAATTCCAATTTTTCTTTATTATAAGCGGTTTTTATTTTTATAGTGTTTGTTGCATATTTTCTTTCATTAGAGGAATCTTTTTAGAGGGTTTCCTCTATGTTTGGCAACACTTAAGGTTTTCCTCTGCTAAAATCTGTATGTCAAATTACACGGCATTGTGCTTTAGTGAGGGCTTCTTTACAGAAGTTCTGCTTTTCTAACCTTATTGCTTCAGAGACAAGTATTTCTCTTCCTGTCCGTCTCAAAGAAGTCGAAATTTACATTTTTTGGAGGTTGGACCCTCAAGGCTGAGGAGAATTCAGATTATACAATTTATTAAAGTCAGTTTGAAGTCTCAGAACTTTCCAGAAGTTTCATATATTTTCTGTGATTCTTAGATTGCTGCAAAAAGGGAATTTAATGAAAATTGACAGCCTTGGAAAACCATTTGTGAAACATTTTGTCTGAACTGGTACATTTTTTTCAGTTCGAGCCCATAAATAAGTTTTATGTATTTTCTTTCAAAGGCACAGCTACTTCATCAGCAGGTTTTATTTATATTCAGAGATGTCTAATAACATGTTTAAACATATATGAGTTTCAGTGTGTTTAAGAAGACTTGAAAAGATTTTATTTTCAAAGGAGTTATAAAAGGAAATGTCCAATTATTTATTTGTATGCCTTTCTTTCTTTTTCTTTTGCCATTTTAGAATAAAAGTGTTCGTTGATGCACATTGACACTTATAATGCCTACCAAAATCATGTTTGTTTTCCTAGAAATTCAACTTAGACCCTTAAATGTTTAAAGGATGAACATATAATCCTCAGAGTTTTGCAACATATTTTGTTTAAATGGAATTTGGAAAGTACACCTGATCAAGGATGTGTGTCTGAACTGCCTGTGTGTTTAAATCCTTCCAGAAACGATCCGCAGCGCTTCTTCGTCATCTGTCCTACCCCTCCTCGTGTGTGTGTGTGTGTGTGTGTGTGTGTGTGTGTGTGTGTGTGTGTGTGTGTGCGTGTGCGTGTGCGTGAGAGAGAGAGAGAGTGTGTGAACCGATGTAAACGAGGGCACCATTTTCCTCCTGAGCCACCTCACACTCCTGACTGGAGGAAATCAATCAGTTAGTTTGTATAGCTATAGTCACGCGTGCCAGTACGGAATCAATAATCTGAAATGTGTCTGTATTCAGTTTGTGAAACTTTGCACATCATTTAGAGAGCTGGCACAATTCTCCCCTCAGTCATATTTACTTGTGTTCGCAAAGGAAATATACTTTGCTGTAGCAAATTTTATGTAACAAAGACTATGTCATTATAATAAATTCTTTTTATTAAATTAAACTGGTTGTTTTCATTCCGGGCGATGTGGTTGAACTGGGTTGAACGGCGCTAAACCGGCCCGACACTACATTTCCCATGATTCCTTGATGTTGTGGGCGAAGGAAGCGAATGTGAAGAAGCTAGTTGTCTTACTTGATTATAATTTGAATTTATCAAATAAGTATCGCTGTTTATTAATTTGTAAAATAGCGTGATAGAAATGCAACTTTTCCTTGGTGGATTGATGCGCGCAGTTTAGACGAGGAATTGTTTTCGAGGCAGAATCATCAGAAATAAGAGGTAAGTGTTAAATTTGCTCTTAGCAAACGAAGCTAACAATCCTGCTTAACGTTAATACACATCACGAAGAGGAAACGGTCCGGTGTCTGTTCTCTTTCAAAGTAACGCTTCTATTTAACTGTGTTATATCTGCTGGGTGTTTTTAGACACTGATAAATGACATGCCGCATTTTTTTTATGTAACGTGTTTTTATTCATTCAGATTAGCTACACAGGAGTTTTTCCCAGGTGGTCATTTTTGATGTAATCACACGTCTTCCTGCCGCCTCGCTCGTGTTGCTGTCAAAGTAATGATTTAATTTTCAAGTTATTTATTTACCACTGTAACGTCATGCTACTGGTTCCAGCTGACACTTCCAAGTGACTGTCAGGCTGGGAGACAGACGATGAGAGTGTTTGATCTGCCAACAACTCCTGAGCTGACAGAAGACGTCTGATGAAAAATTACTGCAACGAAACATGTAAGAGTCGTTTTTTTAGTAACTGCATCAGTATTTTTGCGTATTAACCTTTCAGCAAAGCTAAACTTCGCATAAAAATGTAAACATCGTCAAGATTATAATACGTAAGAAAAAATGTTTTATGTATGTAATGATCATTTTAACTTCATATGAGATCAGTTTGACCAATTTAAAATAATAATTATTTGTCATCTTTATGGTTTCTTTCAACAGCCAGTATGGAGGACAATGGCTCAGTCGACACTAAAAGGTATTGTCCAAAATTGGTGTAGGAGTTTTTTTTTATTATTAAAAAGTGCAAGAAGTAAGAATTTTACAGTGAAATAATCACAAACCATTCTAATGTCTCGATTATGTTGGAAAGGAAGGTTACTTCGAAGGAGATTTCCTTCTCTGCCAGCTGAGGGGTATCAGTTTTTCTCCATTTTTAAAAGAGCCAAAGAGGAACATTGTCATTGTTTACAATCTGTCCTGTCTCCATACTTCCTGGTTCTAGGGCCAATCATGTTTCAGCTCACTGGGTTGCTCAGTCAATGCCGTAAACACTGTTGCACCAGTATTTGTAATTCCATACCAGCTGGCAAAGAGCAGCAGTGTTGTAAAAATAATGCCAGCTAGTAAAAGAAGGACCCCAGAAGTTATCTGTTGTATCTCTAAAAAGCTACAACATCTTTTTGTTTTCCTCTAAAATCGTGTGAAAAAAGTTACTGGCTAACATTGAGCTAACAATGCTAACAGTGAACTAGAAAAAAAAATTGTCAGCTCTAAAAAAAATCTCAAGCTACTTTTCCAATTGCCAATAACTCGATATTGCAGTGAAATGTATTTACTACTACTTCTCACCTTTGATTGTCTTCGCTCGCCATCTAGATTCTTTAGGCACTGGTCCTTAAAGCCAGGCGTACATTGTGCTACTTTTTTGAGCTGATTTCCCTCTCGTGCGAGAATCTGCAAGATCCGGGAGAGTTTTGCGCTGAGCGTCGCGTAGTATACAAGGGGTTACGAGAGGCTAGTAACACCACGTGACCAGCTAACGATCAGCAGTCGTAAGCTTGCACGGATTTCTGGCGTGTTTGATATTTTGCTCGTCCCCTCGTGAGAGTATTGCACTGTTGAAGCGGCACTGCGACCCAAAAAGCACCAGAACTGCTCACAGTGCATGCGCAAACATGCGTCAACATGGCTCGCCAGCTTTTTCTCTATTAATGCACGTCGTTTGTTTTTATTTCTTCACTTTTTTTCCCACACACAATGACGAGGGTTGTCAAGAAAGCGTGTTCATGTCAATGTAAACTGGTCACAGAACATTTTTTCTTTCTTTCTTTCTTTCTTTCTTTCTTTCTTTCTTTCTTTCTTTCTTTCTTTCTTTCTTTCTTTCTTTCTTTCTTTCTTTCTTTCTTTCTTTCTTTCTTTCTTTCTTTCTTTCTTTCTTTCTTTCTTTCTTTCTTTCTTTCTTTCTTTCTTTCTTTCTTTCTTCAACCTTTATAACTCCCTGTGTGCTCCTACAGCACTCCCAAATGACAACAAACATCAATAACAACACAAAAAAACTCCAAAATGTTGGGTAAAAACTGCTAGTTTTAGCACATTTGTAGGTCTGACTTGTTGCTACCAAACGTACAGTGTGAGCAGTCTGGTCACATCCGAGAACTGGGACATTGTGAACACGTGACTCATGAGATTTCCCAGTTCCTCAGACTGGACTCATTTGTTTTGATACAGGGGCTGCAGTACCCAGATTTGACCACAGGATGTCATTCTTACTTAAAGCACCTTTAACTAAAGAGTAGAATAGTCTTTCCCAGCTGAAGACAATTGCATTACTTTTCATCCCACAGCCCAGTGGAGAATGGTCAGCTGCCAGATCCGTCCAACTGGGGAGTTGCTGATGTTGTTAATTATTTTAAAGCAACAGGGTTTGAGGAGCAAGCCACAGCTTTTCAGGATCAGGTGATTATTTTATACTTACAATTTCATCACTAACAACATCGGATCTCAAACAAATCACATTTTTCATTTTCTCCCCACTTGGCAGGAAATTGATGGCAAGTCTCTGCTCCTGATGACGCGTAACGACGTCCTAACGGGGCTGTCCATAAAACTTGGTCCAGCACTGAAGATCTATGAGTACCACGTGAAGCCGCTGCAAACTCAGCACCTGAAAAGCAACGCCTCCTAGCAGCGCAGCTCGTCCCACCACCAAACCTCAGCGACAATCATCCGTGACAGGAGACCCCAGGTTAGCTGCGGCTTCACAAAGACTTCACTGCCCACAGTGGCACCTGAAGCCAGATTTTAATGCTGTATGATTTTATGAGCATGGACTCCAAATAATGATGTGCACTTGGCGTCCATGCAGCTGTTTACATGTTCAGCCATTCTTATCTCTGCTGCTTGAGATGTGTAATTTATTTTATGTGTATTTTATTTAAAAATATGGAGCTTTGGAGTGAGTATTCTGCAGGTATGAGTTTTGAGTGATCGTGTGTGTGTTTGTGTGTGAACAAAGTTTTGTACATAAGATTATCTATAGTTGAAAATGCTGTTTTTCCTGTCATACCTAATATCTTTGATATACGGCGATAATGTGTGTTTTTTGTTCTAAACTGCACATCTGAGTCCATGAGTATTCCTGAGCATGTAACAATGAAGCGATTTGTTTTCCCACACACAAGGACCCGAACCAAATAGTCTCTTGGTTTCTGCATTCATTAGATTTGAGGCTCTTGTTGTGTAAATATCCTTACTATGTACCTACCTGCGGTGCTTTCAACTTTGTCGCACAGACGGTTGCGCTGAAGTGTTCATGACAGGCGCAACATAACACTGGAGTGTGGATTTCTGACTCTGAGATTTGTGATAAACGGTGCTCTTTTCTCACCAAAGAATGTGAGTTTGACTTTATTCACAGTAGTTTCACTTCATTTTATTCTTTGTCAGATCATTAGAAAAAAATCTACAAGTCAGAGATGGCTGCAGTTCTAGACCGAAATAAAATCAAGCAACTATAATGAATATTGAACTATAGACAAGCCAATAATGTGTGTTTTAATAATTTTAGGCTTTGCTTGAGGGCCTCACATATTCACAAAGACAGCGTAAATTATGTTTGGCAAATCATAGTTTTCAGAATTTAATTAACCATATATGAAATTATCTTTTTATTTAAAATGCTGTAGGGTTAACGCTGTCATGTTGTGGCGTTGCTTTCAAAGTCGAGCTCGCTGTTTCCGACACACTGTTCCTGTGATGTTTCCGGAGGGATTATCAAGGGGAAGAAGCACCTGATTAAAAAAAAAGAAGGGGTGTTAATAATTCATCACAAATTAACTTCAAATGTTAATGAATTAGAAGAAAATACCTCATCATTGTTGGCAAGACCCATTTTTGTCATGTCTATGGTGAAGTAATGCTGGTTGGGCATGACTATCTCTATCTCTTCCACCTAAAACAGGACGTTTGCAGCTTAACATTCGTTACATGTTTCATACCAACAAACTTTAAAGACCAAGCTCACTCTTTTTTTTTCAATACATTTGCAGTTATCTCTTGAATAAATGAATGCCTTTCGGGACGATCTCTGTGGGGAAAAAATGCTCTGGCGCTCCTGTTTCAGGAACTAAAAGTGAACCAAAGGAGCAGAAGAAAGATGGTAGGATTTACTTTTATTTCCTGGTGCTCTAAACATCTTGCTTCTGATTGGCTGACAGCCACCTTACTCACTGACTGTTTGATTTGCAACATTGATGTTTTTTCTCCACAAATAACACAAGCCTGGAGGACTTCTGCCGTGCTAACGGTTAGCTTCTGCTAGCTGAGACATTCTCTTCTGGACACTGAATCAATAACAGATCTCACTGGCTTTTCTAATCAGTGTTTCCTCTTATGTTTTCTATGGATGTCTCATGCAGAAAATGGGGTAGGTGACAATTTTCACATTTAGCCTACATGTGAAACTCAGAGTGATGATCATATTCCAAAAATGAGTAAAAAGCTGTTTTTTTTTTTAGTAAACTTGGCCTTTAAATACTTGTGTTAAAGCCCCACACATACAGTATGAATGCTGGGCCAAATGTTGATGGGATTGAATCACTGCACGAATCACATTTTCATTTCCAGAACATTTGTGAGACTGCATTTCACATTTATATGATGGTGTTGAAACTGGTTATGTAACCATTAATCATCATTAGTCTGTGTGAGGTTCATAAACTGGTTGGTTTACCTCAGGAATTCTCTCCAGAACCAGAACTTGTGTTTCATAAAGAGTCTTCTGCACAGATGGTGAGTACTCTCCACGGTCGTAGGGGCCGGCAAACTTCTCGATTATTGTCTCCTTCACACACTTCCTGCATTAGTGATAAAACTGTTCAATCAGAATAAACCCTTCTGTTTCAGCTCCTATATTCACACACTTGTCCCTCACAAATCCTAGATCATTACCATGCAGCGTCAAAGTCAATGCCATGAACCTTGTTGTAGCGCCACCTAGAATAGACGGTGGTGCAGAAACACCTGTCCTTGGCGTCCTGCAGTGTTGTGAAGCGGTCTCGGAAGAAATTCTCAAACCCAGACTGGGTGGTTTTCAGCACCTTCATGTCCTTCACCCCGCTGTGAAGCACTGGAGTGCCTGTGTGAGGAGTTAGAAGTGGGTCAGATCAAAGGTTCCTTAAGCTTAATGTGATCATTTTTATAAATGCAGATGAGTTTATTTTAACAATTTTCACCAACAAATAAAGCCAACACACTTCCTGCTGGTGATTAAATACGTGTGCATGTGTGCGTGATCACCATGGAGGTTCTGTTCAACATCACAGAAACGACAAGCTTCTGGGCTGTAGATGAACGCATGAACATGCTGCACACCGTTCTGAAAGAGACGACATTACGATATGTCAGTAGTAACGTGTACTTGTACTGCAGTAGCCATCACAGAGGTAAAAACCTGCACCTTGTCCTGGACTAATGGCTGATTAATGTGTTTTACCTTCTCCAACCTCCTCCATGGAGCTTCCTCTATGTAAACCTTGGCCTTCAGCACGTGGCTGAAAGAGGTGAGGAAGTGATGACAGATGTCCAGGGAAAACTGTTCGATGGTTTTCACCTGAAAAGTAAACGTAAAACCATCTTGGCAGTAAGTAACTTCAAACGGAGAACAACTGTAATAAATATCAGTCAAGTGGAGGAAAAATCTTTGTACTTATTTATGCTGGAAGTTTGAAAACATTTATGTGGTTATGACAATAAATACCACTTTATTGTTCCTCATCAAACAAAATTGGTAATTTTTGGAGGATTTTAGAAGTTGTCATCTAAAAGAAAAGCACATTCTCAGATGAAACTGCTGCAAATGCAGGTAAAACTCGAATAATGTGAATATGGTGCTAAAGTCCATTTATTTCAGTAATATGACTTAGACTGAGAGACCATCTAAAGGCTCAGAAACTCTTTGCAGGTGTTTTTGGTTCATTAACTGGTTAGAGTGTGACACTAGGATTTTCAGCCTTTTCACAATCTTCTAATTTTGAGATTTTGAATGAGGAGTTTTCATCAGCTGTGAGGCATGACCAACACAATTATAACAAATAAATGCTTGAAATAGCTGGCTTTGCATATAATGAGTTTATCTCATATATTAGTTTCACCTTTAAGTTGAATTATTGACATCAACTAACTTTTGCACCATGTTGTTTTCAAGTGTCACCTGTACTATCTGTCTTTACTGGAAAAGGTCTGTTTGACTCACGCCTTTGATTTTGGCCAGAGCGTGGACGGTGTTCTTGATGGTGTCGGTGGGAATGATGTCCGAGTTGTCTCCGGACAAATAGTCCTTGCGGGAATTGAGGGTGATCTCCACGTTAGCTTTCAGCTCCACGATGTAGTGGTGGCGCCCATGTCTCCTGATGAACAAGACCCTCACGGCGTTCTTACCATAACCTGTTCTTACGAACTCCACGTTCTGTGCAAAAGCACCACATTTAACATCTTGTAAATATGTAAATACATCATTCTGGCTATACAATGTCTTAGTCAAATCACTTTGTTTATTTGATCAGTTTTTTAATCTGTTTGTACTTTATTTACACGTTAAAAATGAAAAAATCTGACTATCACTGATACAGAATAAACTTTTAGAGTTTTACGTGGATTGGCCATGAGATCACTGACCCCCATAGCTCTAGTGCTGAGTCATTGATTCTCTAACAATAAAATGATTGCATTTGGAAGGTTTGCAGAAGATAAAATGAGGAAATGCTTCTTTATAAACCTTTATAAACAGGTTTTTTATAAACTTTATAAACAGGTTGTTACCTGATGAGCAGCCGTTTCCATGGTTCTTCTTCCCCTTAACTTGACTTCTGTCCCCCTGCTCCCAGCAAAGAAAGGACCTCCTGTAGCATGAGGAGTATTCTGTACAGAGGGAGTTGCACCTCTGCACCTCACTATTGGACAGTATAGTTCAAGTTCAGCCCATTTTACATAGATGCAATCGCTCTCACATATGCACACACCGAAAATCTCTATATTTGCACTGGTCAGTCTGAGTTTAACTATTTGTGTAAATCATAACATATTTTCACATTTTTTACTGATTATATAAGAAATGTTCAATTTAACATTGTTAGTGAGCACACATAATATTTTATCATTGCAAAATTAAAACAAACTGGGAATAAGATAAGAGATGAAAGAGCCTCACTGTGTAGTTCATACAGATGTGAAAATCTGTTCCATCATGATTTAGAAATCAGCTTTATTCCTTTTTTGTCAACATGTGATGGACTTATTTTATTCAGTTTCTGAGAAGGCCTCTCCACACTTTAAGAATTTTTAAAGATGATTAATTGAGTCCATCATCCACGTTCTAAAAGTTGAGGGGAAATTCTCATTCCGCATTAATGTTAGCCTCCCATGCTTCAACGAAGATCCAAAGCTTTATTGTGCAGAAGGAAAGTCTCACTATACTGCCCACTCACCACATGTAATCTGGTTTAAAAATGCATGAGGCAAAAAAGGTAACATGCAAAATGCAGTAACTAATTTTCATTACTTAAAATATTGTAAAAAAATAGTTCTTGTGTTACATTCTATTATTGGGTTATTTTCTAATTTTCTTTGTAGGTTAACAGTGATTTAATTTGTTTGTTTCGGCTTTGGGAGTCAGCCAGGAAGAACTGTAGGCTTTCATTCGTCACAGGGACTGGTTTTGGACCAGCATGCACTGGGGTAGACCTATGGTTTTATTTATTGTATTACTGCTTGCCTAGCTGGATAAATAAACTGTTTTTAGGACATTTGACTTATTTTGTGTGTATAAAATATCACCATGATGCAGCAGCGGCTTGAGGATTTCATAAATGAATGAAAGTTTGATCAGACAAACAAGGAATTGTCATGTCGCAATCAGGAAAAAAAAGTAATATTCTTTGTTTTGGGACCACAATGTGTTGTCTGAAGTTAAATTAAATACAGCAGTTGTTGAATGAGGATGGATGGTTTTAAAATAATCCAGGCTGACCAGAATCAACAGCAACTTTAAGCTGGAAAATCTTAAAGTATGTTTGCAGATTGTGTTACTTTTATGTTAATGTAATTTTACTTAGTTTCATGTGTAAAAGGAAATTGGTTTATTGCATTTGTGCAGGATTTTTTTTTTCTCTTTCCAGTTTTAGTCCTTTGGCTTCTTGTCAGAAATTGCATAACATGGTGGGATCTGAGTCCCTGGGCTCTGTTGGGTCCCCGGCAGGGCTAATCGCCCCTGGGTTCGTTGGGCTTCGGGCTCGGCCTGCTTGGGGTGGGAGGCTGCGGGCGGGCCGCTGTTATCTCCCTGGACTCTGCCAGCTGCTGGTTGTGGCACCCTGGGGCAATCCTCTGCGCCTCTCGAGAGGGAGCTGGGGCTTTTCTGGTTACAGTCTGCCTGGGGCCCCTGCGCTCTGGGGCAACTCCTGGATCTCTGGGGCTTTGGGCTCCCTCCATCTCCTACACATCTTTGGGGGCAGATCTGTGGCCCCTCACACTCTATTGGACGCTCCTATAGAGAAACCTTACATATACAAGCGCGTGTACACACACAGGTGCTCACATGGTGCTCTCATAAGTATGGACTTGGGCACGTTCAACACATGTCTTAAGGCTGTGGTTGGCACTAAATGCACTGTGAGTTATCGATTGTTCAGTAAAGCAATGTTGATTTTATATTTGGAAAGACGTCTCAGCTGATAAAAACATGATTTAACCATGTGATTGACGTGAGGGTCCATTTTTAGAGCCACATCCATTTTAATTCCAAGATTAACAATTGTTTGACTAATTTTAAAAGGAAGAGCAGAAAAATCAGGAGCGGAGGAAGACGAGCCATTAGGAGTAAAAACAATAAACTCGGTCTTAAAATCATTCAGCAGCAGAAAATTTGCTGTTGCTGACAGCCAGTCTTTAACCTCACTCAGGCAATCAAGGAGCGGCTGGATGGAGGTAAAAGTCTTCAATGGAACATAAATCTGGCAGTCGCCCGCATAAAGATGAAAGTTAATGTTAAACCTCCTAAAGATTAGTCCCAGTGGAAGAATATAAATGCTAAATAAAAGGGGGCCAAGGATAGAACCCTGTGGCACGCCCCAAGGAAGAGCAGCAGAGGGAGATGAACAGTCGTCCATTCTAACTCTAATAGACCTGTTGTCAAAGTAGGAGCAGAACCAGTCAAGCGCAGATCCCTTAATGCCGACCAAATTCTCAAGGTGGGACAATAAAATGTCATGGTCATGGCGTTTATTGAGAAGGTAAAACTAATCTATTAGAGAGACTCATTTAATGCTAAGCCAGATATTATGTATTATAATCATGATGATTATGGCTTACAGTTTACAAAATCCCCAAATTCAAAATCTCAGAAAATAAGAATATTGCATAAAATCAATAAAACAAGGATTTTAAATGGAGAAACGTCGGGCCTGTGAAAGCATATATTCATGTACTTAGTACTTGGTTTGAGTCTCTTGCTTTAACTAAATGAACTTTTACATGATATTCCTATTTTTCTTACTTCATCTGTCCTGAAATGGCGTCATTACTTCGTTTGTCAGCCCACATATCTGGAACCAAATCTTTTACATAACTTTCTTAAACTCAAAGGTTTATTTTAAAGCTAATAGTTTCTAGTTCAGTGATCAGCAGCTTTTTACCAATAAGAAAAGACACAGCTTTAGAGCTAAGAGCTGCCAGGGGTAAACAAGTGCAATTCTTTAAAAATCACCAATGCACCCCGTAAAATATAAGAAACTAAAATGTTGAAATAATAACAGATGTGGTCAGACTCCTGAAAACAATCTGTTAAATAAATAAACTTATTCCCTTACAGTGGTTTCATTACCTCCTGTCATGTGACCACATCCTGTGACTTCCTGTTCTGCATGTCATCAGCCATACATCTGCAGAAAACACACAGTCTCTAAATAGACTTCAGACTGAGTTTTATATCAATCATAGCTGGCGTCCCTCAGCTTCACTAGTCTCCCAGCATGGCCTCTCTGTGCTTCCACGCCACTGTTGTGATGTTGTGTGTCACCGCGTGCAGAACTGAGATTTCCTGCAGAAATGAAGCTGGCGAAGCTGTTGATTGGTGAGTTGGCATCAGCATAAAATATAAGACAGCTGTAGTTTTTGTTAAATATATATTTTAATCTATTATTCTGCTTTGCTTTTGAGGTTTATGATCTACAAACTTCCCAAGAATGGGATTGGTAAGGTTGGCAGTGGAGTGGAGTATCTGTACCTGGACTCATCAGTGGGGAGCTGGCAGACGAGTAAATTCCTGGTTAATATGAGCCAAGGAGCTTTAGGGAACACTCTGAACCAGCTGTACAAGGGAAGGCCCTACATGCTGAGACCTATTATAATCTGTCTGTTAGATCATCATATCTGTGACTGGGCTGATGGTGTTAATGGTTCAATTCAATTCAAAAATACTTTATTAATCCCAGAGGGAAATTGATTGCTGTAGTAGCTCAGAATAATAATAATAATCAAGTCATCAAAGAGTTGTTGTATAATACAATGGCTGTTGGCAGGAAGGATTTGCAGTAGTGGTCAGTGTTGCAGCCAAACTGAAGAAGCTCTGACTGAAGACACTCTTCCGTTGTCGGACAGTCTTGTGAAGAGAATGCTCAGGGTTGTCCATCATTTTCTTGATTCTCTGGAGAATCCTTCTTTGCATTATCTCCTCCAGTGGCTCCAAAACTGCCTAAACTCTGGCTGAGTCACTTTGTTTCCTGCACCCGATTGGCCTGAGCTGAAGTCAGACTTTAAATGTCCTGTCACTTTTTAGTTCATGGGCATTGAGCCATCTGAGTCAAAATAGTTTAAAAAACTGAAAATATAGTGTCATGACCAGAACTTGGAAGACCCGTGATGACACCAAACACAGCAAAAGTTCATAAAAAGTCTTTAATGATATGGCGTTACCAGAGGAGGGCGAGGCTGGAGACAGAAGAAGAAGAAGAAGAAGAAGAAGAAGAAGAAGAAGAAGAAAGTATCATTTCTATAGTGCCTCCCAAGATAAAAATGACAAGGCGCTTCACAAAAACAAAAAACGTAAAAATATAAATAAGCATTTAGAAAATGTATAAAGATATATTTAAAATGAGCAAAAATTGGCAATTGTGATAAAAAAATATATGTTAAGAAAGAGAGAGAGTGAACAGGAAAGAGGGAAATCAGTGGATCCTGAGGAAGGTGGAATAGGTGGGGAGAGCAGAATAAAGAGAGAGTGGTGAAGAAGGTCATACAAAAGCCAACAAGTGAGTCTTCAGCTGCTTTTTTAAGGAGACCACTGATCTCAGGCTTGATGAGGAGGCAGCAGAGGTAGAGTAGGGTGTAAGACTGGGAATCATGACATATAGAGCATTTTAGTATCAAAATGATTAATTATTTCACTTTAAAGGGGTAAATATTACTAGCAACCATCAGCTGTTTATTACTCAATAAGACTGGAAAAAGAAGATAGTATTAGGTAAGACAGTAATGCAGATAGTATTATGTAAGACAGTAATGCACTAAACATTTTAACATGTCCTAATAATGTGTCCTTACTGTTTCAGTTTCTGACCACCACTAGTCATTTTTTACTTAAAAGATAAAAAAACTTTATCCCTCACTTTTTTGAATTAAATGTCATTAGTTATGATCTTAGTTTAAAACTGCCACAATTTTAAACTAAGATCATCTGATGTTGAGAAGTTTTTGTCTCAACTCATTCTGTTGCATTCGTTGTGTCCTTGGGCAAGACGCTTAAGACCATGTTCCCTGATAAAAAAAGTTTTTTTAATTTATATTTTTGAGATATGATCGGTCACATCATCAGGCTGAATGCGAAAATAATCTTCTACCCATGTTTCCTGCATGAGCCACCAGTAGACAATAAACAAGGAAATGCTCAGATTAGAGAAGCCAGTCAGATCTATGTCACACTGAAAATTAGCATTCATGAACTCACCCATCTTGGCTCATGACGGGGAAGGCTGTTGTTGGTTTAGCGCCCAGGAAAAACAACAGAGAGCGTCTAGCTAGCAGAAGCTAACCATTAGCATTAGCAACTCAATTTTGTAGCAGATCTCCTTCAGGATTGTGCCATTTATGGAGATAAAACATCAACGTAGCTACGCAAACAGATTCAGTGGTAGAGTCACGTTGCTGTTAGCCAATTAGAGGTGAGATGTCTGAAGCAGCATGTCTATGCAATAGGCTGACATGATATGCTGGAGCCGTTTCTTGTAGGGCCTTGTATGTCAATACCAAGACATTTAATTTTGCCCTGTATTACATTGGCAGCCAGTAAAGCGATGCCAATACAGGAGTGATATGGTCCCTCCGCCTAGTCCCTGTCACAAACCTAGCAGCTCAGTTTCGTACTAGCTGCAAGCGTGCTACCATGCCCTGACTCAGGGCAGCATACAGTGCATTGCAGTAGTCAAGCCTTGAAAGAATAAAATATGTACTCTGGATGGAAGGGGCTTAATTCTGGCCAGTCAGCGCAGGTTAAAAAAGCACAACCGCACAACTTGGTTGATTTGTGCATCGAACTTAAGGGCTGAATTCCTACTCACAAATTTCCTATGGTGGTCTTCACATTAGGTGCTAAAGAGCCCAGATCCACTGCATCACAGGTACATGCAGACACACCAAGGCTAAGTACAATGACTTCAGTCTTAGCAGCATTCAAATCTAAAAAATTCATAGCCATCCAGGAGCAGACATGCCCTAAGGCATAAACTTTGATTTTGATCCATCAATGCCCCGCTGAATGGGGAGGTAGGTCTGACAATCTTCGGCATGAAAATGAAACTGCATTCCCTACCGCCGAAGAAGATTCCCCAATGGTATTAGGTAGATGGTAAAGAGAAGCGGACCCAGTGCAGACCCCTGTGGCACACCCCTCTTGAGTCCCGCTCAGGTTTAGGAGGTTTCCCCTACAGTGACACAAAAACTCCTGTCACGTAAGTGTGTTGTAGCCGATTCAGAAGAATGTTATGATCGACCCTATCAAAGGTCGCCAACATCAAAAGAACAACAGCACACCCCCCACCACCACCACCAGTTATAAAACACATCGTTAAGAACTATTTGCTTCATTTGTTTTAATCAAAAATGCATCTAATGCCTTCACCTCAAATTAAAGAAACAAACATTTTAGAAAACACATTTCAGTTATTTTAATTATTATTTCAACATTTTTTTAGAAAATTTAATTACATGTTGCTGTTTTGACAAAAAGATGTATACTTTTGTTTTGAAATCTATGAGCAGCAGCGGCCTACACATTTTTTCAATTATGATTTATTTATTTTCTCATTAATAATTTATTTTTAAAGTCTTGATTAATGAGGATGAATTTAGTGTTTGTGCGAACATGAATATGATTAATTAAAAGAGGAGGGTCTTCCCTAGGGTGGTCAGTAATTTTGTAGGGGTGGCCCTGGAATCCCTGCCCACCCATTGGGAGTGCCCCTGTTCTGTTGGTGATCAGAGGGAGTGGTGGCACCATGGTATGGCAACCTCACTTCTGTCATGGTAAATGGCCTGTATTAGTACAGCGCCTTCTTAGGGTTGTACAAACCCCCAAGGCGCTTCACAACACAATCAATCATTCACCCATTCACACACACACATTCATATGCTGGTGGGGATGAGCTACGATGTTGTCCTGGGGCGCACTGACAGAGGCGAGGCTTGCTGAACACTGGCGCTACCGGTCCCTCCGATCACCACCAGCAGGCAGGGCGGGTTAAGTGTCTTGCCCAAGGACACAACAGCAGCATTCTCTGCTCAGAACCGGGAGTAAACCTACAACCTTCTGATTACTAGACACCCCGCTCTACCTCCTAAGATACTGCTGCCCAACAGACAAATGAACACACACACACACACACACACACACAAGCAGGCAAAAACACTGTTGCCTTTCAGCAGCAGGCATTGATAAAACCTAAAATCAAACGACATCATGATGTTAAGAGTCTGAAACAAACTTCTCTTCTAGTCCAACAGCTCAGTCTACGCCCTCTACAACGATGCACCACCGCTCCTGAAGTACACCCAGGAATATGGACACACCAAAGGTGAGAATTACTTTTACATTCAAATCAAATCTGAGTATATCAATGAGAAAATGAAACTATTTATCTTTATTTTGTTACACCAACATCTACAGTGTTGATGTTTAAATTTAGATCCAATAGAAAGAAAAATTAAGATTTTAATTTCACAGTTGAAGTTAAACTTATTTGTTTGCTGTATTAACAAACTGAGACAAGATGGCGCCCATGAGTGGCTGTGTGTCTGCTAGGCTCCTGATCTGTTTTGGTTATTTGTTGTTTTTTATTGCTTTTTGTCTATCTGATGCAGAGTCCCTGCTAACATATGATCGAGACTTACTGTTGTCGATCAGGTCCGCGATGATCAACCTCCAGAACTCCGATACCGGACCCGCTTTCCCACCGCCTCTGGAACCTGGCGTTAACCCAGGTCTCGGCCCTCTGTTACCTGTCGGCCTGCCGCTGCCCAGGAGGCCATGGAAGAGGAAACGTGGGAAGAGAGCCGGCTTCTTCGTTCAGCTTCGAAAGATCCTGAGAGGCGAAGCTCTTCCCGATCGCTGCTCCGCGGCTGTGTTGTGGCGGATCCAACAGAAACTTAACGGAGTTGGGCTGATCTCGCTGCTAAATGGAGCCCCTGATGTGGGACGCTACCTGAAGGCGTGGGAGACAAAGAACCACCGCGGGCGTAGCGTGGAGTCGCTACGTAGCTTAGCCTGCCAGCCGCCCACCATTATCGAGCCCGCGGCACACACACCGCCAGATTCCTCCGCGAAAATGATGTTAACGCTTGCTCCATCGCCAACAAGTCTCACATCCTCAACGATCTGTTCCGGACCAAAAAATTTAACTTTTTGTGGATTTCTGAGTCATGGCAGCGCGAAAATGACGTCACTCATCTCTGTGAGCTCTGTCCTCAAGACTGCTCTTTCTTCTCTGCTCCACGAACCACAGGTCGCGGTGGAGGAACAGCTGTTATCTTTAAGAAACACTTTTCGTGCCAAATTATATCCTCAAACTCCTACAGCTCATTCGAGATGATCATGATTAAAATTGGTCGAGTTCAACCAGTTTATGGAATTCTGGTCTATCGCCCACCTGGATCTACTTCATCCTTCCTGTCTGACTTTCAGTATCTCCTATCTTCAACTATTAAACTAGACAGGATAATCATTGTTGGAGATTTCAACATCCATGCTGAGGATCTATCTAACAGCTCCACTAGGGAGTTCCTAAACATGATGAACTCTATTAATTTCTCTCAACACGTGTCTGGTCCCACTCACAGAGCAGGCCACACCCTGGATCTGGTCTTTTCCTACAGACTTCTTGTTGATAAGCTGCAGATAAATGATGTTGTGTTCAGTGACCATAAGTCAGTTTCTTTTCATATTAACCTAAATTCTGAATCTCTTTTACCAGACTCTGCTAAGCAAAGACGTATTATCAACAGTTCTACCATTTTAAATTTCTCCTCCCTCTTTGACTTTGTATCTCCTTCCTCTGATGACGTAGAGCTCCTTACCAACTCATTTAATGATCACTGCCTCAAAATTCTAGATCAGGTCGCCCCTTACAAAACCAGCCGCAGTTCCAGTGCCTCCAGTTCACCCTGGCTGAACAACCAGATTCTTGATCTTAGACGCTCCTATAGAAAAGCGGAACGACGGTGGAAGAGTACAGGTCTGGTTGTTCATCGCGAATATTTTAAAGAACTTCTCGAGTCATACAACGAAGCTGTAGAAAATGCCAGGTCTTCTTTCTTCAGCAACCTCATATGTCAAAAAAGAATAATCCCAAGGTTTTGTTTGATACCATCTCCAGAATCGTGTCTTCTCCTCCGCAGCAGGCTCAGCTATCTTCAGCTGATGATTGTAACACCTTTCTCCACTTCTTTGCAAACAAGGTGTTGAATCTGAGATCCAGCATTCCCCCCCCCCCCCCCCCCCCCAGGAGGCTCAGTGCTCCGAGTCTTTCACCTCCTTCTCCCCAATTACACTAAATGACTTAACCTCAATAATCAGTCAGATGAAACTCTCATCATGCTCTTCAGATATCTTAACCCCCTCTGTTTTAGTCAGGTCCCTTGCCTCCATCAGTCCATCTCTGTTGACTATAATCAACAGCTCACTGAGCCAAGGCTGTGTTCCATCTTACTTTAAAAATGCAGTAGTGGCTCCTCTCTTAAAGAAACCCAACCTTGACGCCAGCTCCGCCAGTAACTTTAGGCCCATTTCTAAGCTACCTTTCATCAGCAAAGTACTTGAGAAGGTTGTTGAAACCCAACTCAGATCCTGGTTGTCTAAGTCAAAGATCTCTGACCCCTTCCAATCTGGCTTTCTGAAGCAGCACTCAACTGAGACTGCTTTAGTAAGGGTGCATAATGACCTCCTGATGGCTGCTGATGCAGGGAAATGCTCTGTCATGGTCCTGCTTGACCTCAGTGCAGCTTTTGACACTGTAGACCACAACGTTCTACTAAACAGGTTAAAGGCCCTGGCTGGGATTTCAGGTTCTGCTCTAGACTGGCTCTCTTCTTATCTCACCAACAGAACATTCACAGTGAAGTCCGAAACCTTCTCTTCAGATACTGCCTCTCTAACATGCGGGGTCCCACAAGGTTCAGTTCTAGGGCCTCTACTATTCGCATTCTATATTCTTCCCCTAGCTGGCATCATTCAGTCTTTCCCAGACATCTCCTACCACATCTACGCTGATGATATTCAGCTTTATATGTCCTTTATGCCACACCAGTTGGACAGGCTTGCCACACTTGTACTCTGCCTGATCCAGATCAGTAACTGGCTGTCCAGCAACTTTCTTGTCCTCAATGCTAACAAGACAGAGACCCTGATCGCTGCACCCCCGGAACTTCAGCCAAAAATCGAGCAAGAAATTGCCTCTTTTTGCCCATCAGCCAAGGCCAACAATAGAAACCTAGGAGTTATTTTTGATCCAGCTTTAAGTTTAGACTCACACGTCAAAACCATCTCCCGTTCTTGTTTCTTCCAACTGAGAAACATTTCAAAAGTCTGTAAACTGGTTTCTACTGCAGATCTGGAAAAATCATCCATGCCTTTGTGTCATCACGCTTAGACTACTGTAACGCTCTTTTTACTGGTCTCAGCAAAACCTCCCTCTCACGCCTTCAAGCCATCCAAAATGCAGCAGCCAGACTCCTAACCAAATCCAGCAGACAAGCTCACATCACCCCAGTTTTACAGTCCCTCCACTGGCTCCCGGTAGAATATAGAATTCAGTTTAAAGTTTTAGTCCTGACCTATAGAGCTCTTAACAACCAGGCTCCAAGCTACCTATCTGAGCTTTTATCCCCACACACCACCTCTCGGAACCTTAGATCCACATCTGAAAACCTCCTGGCTGTTCCTCGAACCAGACTGAAAACCAAAGGGGACAGGGCCTTTCAGACTATTGCACCCAGACTTTGGAACAGTCTACCTTCAAATCTCCGTCTCTCTAACACTTTAGAGGTCTTTAAACATCATCCAAAAACTCACCTTTTCATCCAGGCGTTCCGTCCCTAAATGTTTCAAAAAGAAGGCTTTGTTTGGGTTCACACCTTCACTTTGTTTATATTCATGATTTAATTTTCTACTTTATCACTGCTATTGTTTTTTGGATGTTTTTATTGGTTAGTGGTATTTGCCCTGATCTTTATCATGTTGTACAGCGCTTTGTGATTTATATCTGTGAAAGGCGCTATATAAATAAACTTTTACTTACTTACTTAACCACTAACAACACACGGTCCTGTATCTTATATGAAGATAATATTACAGAAAAACATTCTGAATATTCGTGCCTGTGCTTTAACTCAGAGGAAAGTCCTAGCCCGTTTGAGTCCATGAACATTATCTGCAGATATCTTCCAGACCAATAGTCCAGTATTGGGGCCCTCTGATGTTGCAATGAAGAGTAGATATGAGGGGAAACGTTCAAAGAGCATCAGCCTAATGACTCGTGTTGACTCTACTTTTCCAACCGCTCTGACGCAACTTTGATGTAAATGTTTTTGCCTTTGTCTGCACGTTTGCATGTGTGTGTGTGTCTTCTTGCACATCGTAGTAATTTGAATGTGTTTCCTGCAGGAGTTGTGCTTTTTGACCACTCACGAGGATTCTGGCTGTCACACAGTATTCCCCGTTTCCCTTCCTTCCCTGAGAAGGGCTACCTGTACCCCTCCTCTGGAAAAGTCTACGGCCAAACTGCCCTGTGTGTGACATACCAGTATGCCCAGCTCCTCCGCATAGGTGAGTGGAGCTCTTACAACACAAAATCCACTGAAAACAAGAAAACATTAACCCTGTCACCTTGACTTATGTGAAGTCATCAGTACCTTGAAAGGACACATTCCTCTAAAAATGGTTCGTGTTGCACAGCTCTGTGTGATGAAGAAATAACATTAACAAAGATGTTTTGTGTATACTCATTCAGCATCATCTTGATTATTCATCATTAATAAAGAAGAAATGTGGGTTTGATTGTACATTTGTACTTTGCTTTTTGGCAGTGAAGCAGCTGGCCTATCTATATCCTCGCATCTATAACTGTTCTGTACCTGCCGTGTTCTCGGCCGACCTGCCGCAGCTCATCCAGCTGTGTGAGGGGTCTAGACCACCTCAGGCCTCCTGCAGGAGGATGGAGCAGCTTTCTTCTGCCCGAGGGGACAAGTTTGTCAGCTTTGTCAAATCAGAGAAATACGTAGATGGTACAAAGTCTTTTTTCATGTCCTGTTTTTCACACATGTTGCAGTTGTTGAATTATTTTTTTCTTGTGTGAAACATCGTCTTCACCTCCATGTAAAATAAGCAAAGACTACATCATTAATACTGGTAAAATATTTAGAAATGTAAGCTAAGCTGCTTGTAGTACTGTGCTAAAGCTTTAAACCGGTCATCATTTATTTATATTTTTCTTCTAAGAAATAAACAGAAAATTAAATATAATAATGTTAATGGTGGTGCAGTGGTTAGCACTGCTGCCTCGCAGCACGAAGGTTGCAGGTTCGAAACTCGGCAGCGGCCTTTCTGCGTGGAGTTGCGTGTTCTCCCCATGCATGCGTGGGTTTCCTCCGGGTACTCTGGTTTCCCCCACAGATCACAACATGCCCTACAGGTTATAAATTGTAAGTCGCTTTGGATAAAAGCGTCTGCCAAATAAATAAACATAAACAAACATAAATATATTAAATTATATAAAATTATATTTATAATAATAAATAATAATTATTATTATTAAAGTTAAAATCCCATAGTCATCATCACACACTGGTGAAATTCATCTCCACATTTGACCCATCCCCATGCAGGGGAGCGGTTGGGAACTACGTGGTGGAGTGTCAAGCATGGAGGCATTGGGTCCCATTTGATACGAACATCCATGTCCCAAAAAAAAACTTTGCAAGACATTCAACATTGGGACCATTATAAATGTCAGTGTGACAGAAAAACATTTGAAAAAGAGGCATGACTAAAGACTTCCTCAGTATTTTTTTAAACAGAACCAAACTAACCTCTCATCTCTTTCCTTCAGATATCTACACAGGTTGGGTGGCTCAGGTCCTGAATGCTGACCTTCTGGTGGAGTCTTGGCAGAATCAAGGCCATGCGCTACCGTCCAACTGCTCACTGCCAAAACACGCCATGAACATCAAGAGGATTCAACTTCCCACATCCATCCAGTTCCAGTCTCGCTACGACCACTCAAAGTGGTGCGTGTCGCGGGTGTACGAGGACCATGTGACCTGTTTGGGGGATCTGAACAGGGAGAAGGCTCAGCTGTGGCGTGGAGGAGGGTTGATCTGCACCTACAACCCTGTGATTTACAAAGCCTTCAGACAGCTGGTGGACTGGTACATCGGCTGCTGAACACAAGACAGAATCTCAGGATGACTACACTATAAAAAGAAACTGTTTAAATTTAACCAATAAAATTACTGGAACAATTTGCACTCAGTTTATTACAATTGGGTTATTTGTTAAGAAATAAGTATTCCGGTTAGAATTGAATTGTTGTGCTGAAGTAATATTTTAAGTTCTTATCAATACAATTGATTTCTATTTTTTTAAATAAATAAAATAGATATTCCAGTGGGAATTAAATTATTTGTTTTTATTTCAGTCTATAACTAACAATAAAATCCTGTTAAGCCCGGGACACACCCGAGACAGACGTGCCGTGCAGCGGAAGCGCCGTGGTTTTGAGAAGTCAAGTGGCCACACAGGAAGTGCCGCGTGTAAAAAAGTATGCTAGTTCCTACAATATTTTAAGATCAATAGTACTTTAAAGTTGTCAATACTGTGGTTGGGTTTGTGCCGTAAAGCAGTTCCATGTCGTAATGTCTGCTGTAAAGTACTCCACAGTGATGCTGCCGCTTGAGATATAAACATAGCTTGACATAGATCTTGACATAAATCTGGCACCTATGTTCAGCGCCTTAGCACTTCTGTGACGCTGCGCTCCTCCTGTAGCCACTCTCAGTAACTATAGCGGCTTCTAGGGCTGCTCGATTATGGCAAAAATAATAATCACGATTATGGTGACTGAAATTGAGATCACGATTATTTAGGACGATTTTTCAATTTATGTTGATTTTATTTGTTTTTATTCAGTCATAAAACTGCTCAGGGCACAATCAGGACAAAAATAAGACACAAGATGATCACTAAAAGAACTCCTGATTCCCAGGATAAAAGGACCAATATACTTATAGCTCATAGTTTATGACCCAAGGGCTATAGACCTTGGTTTAACTCATGTAAGTCTAACCAGTACAGACCCAAATACCAATATCTTGCAAATACTGACAGCAAGAATTATAGAGTGGCATTTATAACAAATAAATGCAAATAAACTGATGTTCACAAAATGTTACATAACATTTATTGAGTCGTGTCAAGGTGCTGTAGCACTGTGTCCTCAGAGAGATTAGTTATCAGCGTGAGGAACTTATTTCTACCTTATTTATAAACTATTTATTTACAGGCCCATCAGTTAATGTAATAATTGTCCCGACCACAGCTGCACCCCCCACCCCCCCACCCCGGTCTCACACAATCGGGCAAGCTGCACGTGTGTTTAGCACGCCGCACGCGCACATTTAGCTGTTTTTAGCTGCTCAGGAGACCGCAGGTGCGGTGTGTGTGTCACTCACTCTGGTTAATCCAACAAGGAGCCGGCTCCGAGAGCTGTCTTTAGCGACCGACACATCACTGCATCATTCCCTTTCCTAATGTTGTGAAGAACGGTCCGGAGCACAGGCGGAGTGTTTAGCTAACCTGCAGGAAATGTCGACGACAGTTATCCAGAAAGTAGCTAAGGGTTACCAGAGATGTTTCTGAGATGTTCGCTAGGTACTTTTAGGATTAAAAAGTCAAGAAGGGGGTCTGAAAAGCTGCTAGAAATAGCGTCAAAGTCGCTAAGTTGGCAACACTGTGAGGAGCGCTTCATTTGCAACTTAGGGCAGCGCAAGCGGGAGGAGCAAATAATCGGCTTGTTATGTTTTTTATAATCGTTCAAAACTCAGATCGTAATCGTGATTAAAATTCGATTAATTGAGCAGCCCTAGCGGCTTCTATTTAAAATGACGGTGTGGGCATGGCCCGTCTGTCTCCGGTGTGCCCCAGGCTTTCGATCATTTTATTTGGCGATATTCAACGTTCCAAAACATCAATTTTTTCAGTGTACAGTCTGAATCTATGAGACTGAATTATTCGTATTAAGCAGCAACAGGTAAATGAAAAAAAAAAAACTCATGGGATTATGTTATGGCTACTTGATAATCTACATTATTGTGTTTGTTTTAGTCACTGTAGCGTCATGAATGTCCTGTTTATGACCTAAAGGTCATGATCTGCTGCGTTTGCTCGAGCAGAGACAACGTCTCTGACAGCCTAATCTACATGAGATATTGGCCAAGGTCTTTCAAGCACTCTGCTCATCTGAACTGCTTCACCTCTGTTACAGCGAAGACGAAGAACTATTTTGATAAATACATAATCAACAACTTTGTTAATTACCAATAATAATGTGAGCCCAATGTTCAATCAGTCTTGGAAATGACAATGTTTATTACTTGATATTATAATCCTGTGATCAGTAGTATTTTACAAGTTATTATAATCTTGGACATTTGCACTAGACACTAAGGACACGTAATGTTAAAAGTCACACGACACATTTCCTTTTGTCTGATCCAATCAGAACCTTTGTTTCTGACGCGAGGCGTGGTCTTCGGTGGTGTTTGTATAAACCCTCTTTTGCATGTCAAATTCTGATTCGCCAGTAAACCAAAATATGACAGTTATAAAAACTATTCCGCGCCACCTTTTCTTTAGTTCAAAGCGTTCTAGAGAAGTCTCGGACAGGCCATCCGGACTTCCTCTTCCGCCATAAACAACCTCGACAAGCTGGATAAAATCTGTTGCAAGTGACACCTGAACGCAACGGTTCCTTCAGAATAAAAGCTGAACCTCACGACCCCTTCAGGGTCTCAGAGACGCCAGTGATAACCTGTCGTGACCTGGAAGCATTCCAAAACTAGTTTGGTCGGCACCGCTGCCTTTCTACCGGCTTCGGTACCAAAGAGGGTCCACGAGGACCTCGGCATTCTGGATCTGATCAGAGACTTCCCCTGGGTATGTAGACCGACAGATGGTGTTTCATGTGTGTTATAAATCTCCTACCAAAGCTTAGAGCAAAATATTCACTCCCACTCAGAACAAACTGCTTCTCCGGATCCGCTGGTTCTGAATAACACACACACACACACACACACACACACACACACACCATCATCATTCATCACGTCTCATTCCACATTAGTCCATCAGTACACAGAGTGTTAAAGTTTGTCTTATTTAAATTGTGTAGAAATAACTAACTATTTTAAACCTGACTCTCTCTCTTTCCTTGGAGTTAATATGAAGTGTCACTTAATCCCTGCAATAAAAAGTTCCGATCTTCTGGTTAAAATAGTCAAAGATCCATCAGATGGATATTTCATATTTCTGTGGAATCTCACATTTTTACATCACCAATAAGTTCTATTAATATTTTATGTTTTCTCTTTTAAATATAAACACAAATGGGCACTGACAAATCTTTGATTCCGTGAAACCCGAAGAGAAAGGTACAACGGTGACGATACGCAGACGAGTGCACAGATTTATCACATCACACTGATTTTATTTTACATTAAATACAACTGTTTTACATACATCTTAAGTGTTTATTATTTTATGCTGGTTAAAGCAATAATATACTTTTTAATCAATCTATGTTAGAAACAGATGTTTCAGTTGTTTCCAGAAACTCAAACTTAGTTTCATGTTTTGGGGAATTACACATCTAATTTGAGAACTTCCTGTTCTGATTAGTGTCGAGCGTTGAAATGCGGGGACTGGTCTGATTACAACGTGAAAGCAGGATCACCAAGCTGCAAATCGATTTTATAAATACTAACTGAGTCAACATCTGCCTGTGCCAGTTGAATAGTTCGTTTTATTTTAAAACTTCTTGGTGAAAATTTGAAAATATGAAATTTTGGGGGCAAATAGTGACATCTAGTGATCAGAGGGATGAGAAGTTGTGTCCATTTCGTTTAACCCTTTGATGCATAATGGTCACTACAGTGGACAGGTATTCAAAATTGTTATTTATTTATTTATGCTATTAAGCACAGCTGTTGAAGACTTTGTTGCATTTGAGTCCCTCCATTTGGACTTCAGTAAGTCAAGCCAAAATATTTCATGTTCAGAATGCACGCTGTCCACTGAGGTGGACATGTAATAAACTATGTGTAAATTCAATGTTACAAAAAATATGTAAATATGAAATTTGTTTCATTCACACCTAAAAATGAATGAGAAAAATTGTTTAAAAAACCATGGTTGAAGATTTCATAATTCATGCATCGAAGGGTTAAGATGGTTGGATAAATTCTGTTACTACAAGAAACCAAATTCTGCAAAGAAAATCTGACAAGATTACAATGTTTCTCGTTCCTGGCTACTTATTAAAATTGCAGAAAAATGCAAGCACTGATATGTTTCTTTTTCTAGATTAATTCAACAATTTCTGAGCATTTACACCAGGGGCCCACCAACCTTTTTTCTCCAAATAAGACTAAAATAAAATTTTGTTAATTACAAATACACTAATATAGATTTAAAAACTACAATTTTCTTTAAGAAACATCTAAATATGTTTACTACACACACAAAGCTAGCTTAACTTTGATCCATTCTAGTTCAAAGGTCAGTGTTGTATCACCCGGGTAGCCCTTCGTATGGCTCAGTACCCATGAAGTAAGGTTACTGATAAAGGTTGATAACTATGATTTGCACCAAATGGAATTGCACTGTTGTCATTTGTATTCCTAAAGCTAATTAGAACGGACAAACGGATCATCACTACTGTAATGAACTCATTTTCACCATGTCTAACCACAACAATGTGATTTCAGGGCTTTTGTCTGTCAACATGGGATCTAAAATGGTAAATGGCCTGTATATGTATAGCGTCTTCTAGGGTTCGACAGCCCTCCAAGGTGCTTCACAACACAATCAGTCATTCACCCAAGCACACACACATTCACACACTGGTGATCTTGAGCTACTGTGTAGTCACAGCTGCCCTGGGGCGCACTGACAGTCAGTTGGGTGCAAAGAACCCAGACCTAGTCAAACCAGTCTTTCGTTTCACAATGAATGCATGCTCACTCAGAAGCATTCATATCTAAATATGAACTGAAACTGGTTTAGCAGCAGGATTATCGGAAGTCTCCAACAGAACAACCAGAGCCAGATGAACAAATCAGCTTTGAGCAACAAGGAAGCAGCTGAGTGTGAGCTTCCTTCATCGCTGAAATGTGACGGAGCAGCTTTTTAAAACAGGTTTGTACTTTAGCCTAAAGGGGAGTGAAGATGGCTGGATGTGTAAGTGAGATATTTACTTGTTTGAGACATTTAAGTAAAGACTAATGGTTTCATTAGAAACTGGAACTTTTGGATATAGATTAGCGTTATAAACTATGTCCTGATTCATAAGTCAGCTGCCTTCCTAAATGAGAATGTTGCCAGGTTTCACCATGAGTGTATACACATCAAGTTCATTCATGATTTTCAAATATGTTTGGATATTCTAAGATTGTAAACCTGCATCTTTATTTTATTTGCACCTCAGCTGTTGGTTTGAGTGAACATGGAAGTGGTGTGGTAACCGCTCATGGTTTACTAGTCCAGGAAGTGGCTGCACAGACAGCCAGAGCGCCTGCAGACCTCTCATTACTCTATAACAGAACGTCAACATTTTGGTATTTAGGCAAATAAAAGCATCAAAGGTTTGAATATCACATAAATCAATGTAAAAATGTTTTAAATGTTCACATTAAAGAACAATAAATAGGGTAAGCGACGGGTCTGACTTCAAAATTACATGGTGCCTTAGAAGATATGCGTGTTTTATTTATTTATTTATTTATTTATTTATTTATTTATTTATTTATTTATTAACATAGGGAGTTTAATATTTGATGAGTAAATTTATCATAATCAAAAACATCTGAAAATGATGATAACATCTATAATTAAGATACATGGTTAATGGCGCCCCCAAGGGTTGGCCTGAGGAGGACAAACCTCTTCCCACCCAACTGGACCTCCCAGAGAAGACCTCTCCTTTAATCAAGACATAAATATAAAACCCAGTAAATAAGTATATGAGTAACAAGTTTAAAAAAATCACATTAAAGTAATATTTATGTTGCTGGTGCTCATCGTTTTCCAAAAGAATAAATATGAATTTGGATGCTTTCGTTTACACAACAACAGGTAAATTAAAGTATTCCCAAGTGCTAAAACATGAATGTTGATATAAAAAAATCAAATGGCTACATATTATTTTTTATGAAAAGCATGACGGATTAATGCGATTCACAAATACAGGCGAAACGCTCCCAACGTCCCTCACAAGGACCACCATGGTGTGGTGCCACCCTAAAATTGTTCCTGCCCCCACGGTGAAACATTTCTGAGAGCACCCCTGCACATGATGACAGTCCAACTTTGGTTTAGGTCAGTGTTTATGTTTTTTTTTTCTTCCAGCATGACAGTATAGCATCCCAGTTTGTTTTTATTAAAACTGATTCCCCAAATTAACTTTCTACATAATCCACCAAAGATAATGCTTTAAAAGCAGATTTTTTCTCTATAGGTGTTAAGTCATGAATGAGATTCATCCATTGTGTTTTTATTCTACACTAACGTTTGCTCTGCTTGTTTCAGACAACTTTATTTGGACTCTTCTTGGGCGTCAGCACCTTGTTTGAAGTGTGTTACTCAGATGTGAAATGCAGGAATGATGATGGAGAGGAGGTTGACTGGTTCGTGGAGATTTCCTGTTACATTTAAATCTTTTTTCCCCTTCTCTCAGTTTTATCTGAATAAATGATAAAATGAATGTTTATCAGGTTTATTTTATACAAGCTGCCCATCACGTATGAAGTTGGTTTGTCATATATGTACATGGATGAGAGCACGAAGGGGTGGACACTCAGCACAAAGGAGATCAGCAGGAGAACCGGTTCTCTAGGGAACACGTTAAAACCTCTTCTTGACTTTTATGACAAAAAGGTAAAAGGAGATTATGTTGCAGCTTTAAAGTGCATGCAACTTCAAAATTAATAGTCCATTTTTGTGAAAGACTGAAGGCTTTGGTTACATCCTCTACAACGACCAGCCTCCAGATAAATATAATGCTCCTTCATCATTTGGACACAGTAAAGGTGGGTGCAGCACATGCATCCTCTAACCTGATTATGCTTGTTGTGTCACGAACTCCTCTCTTACTTTCTGAAGGTGTTGTGATGTTGGATCGACAAACCGGACTCTGGCTCTCTCACAGTACGCCAAAGTTTCCAGAATATCGCAGTAAACACTTCTGGCCCCAAAGTGGAAACACAAACGCTCAAACGTTTATTTGCGTTTCCTTCCCCTACAACCAGTTCAGAATAATAGGTATGCAAGCAGCTTTCATAGCAGCATTATTTTCCAGCAAAGGCGACCTTTTCTGAAATGTATGTGTTTGAAATATGTCATTTGAAATCCCAGGACTGCAGCTCATGTACATCCATGCTTATTCGTTTGACTCTGAACTCCCCAAGACGTTTCCCGAGGAGCTGCGGTGTGTTGCACAGAGAAGCTGCCTCCCAAGGAGAGAGCCGTGGTCTAGTGTGCAGATGCTGACCTCCACGATGGGCCGACATTTCACCAGCTTTGCAAAATACGGACGTTTCAAAGACGGTGAGTGTTTGCAGTTCAAAAATGTTAAAGTAAAGAAAAAAATCACTTTCACTTGCTATTTTTCAAATATGATCGGTCACTTTGAGTTTCACATGCAGCTAAATGTGAAAATTGGCCTCTACCATTATTCCATGCATTTATTATAGATAGAGAAGAGACGCGGAAAGTCTCGGATCAGAAAAGCTTGTGACAACTGAACGTCACATAAAAGTCTTTGTGGCTGAACCCTTGTGGGACCAAGAGGGAAACCGTGGGCAAACCCTGTTGGGAACCACACGGTTTGCCCAAAGTCAGTGTAATCCATATGGGGCCCACCAATGTTTGCTGGCTGAGTAGAAACCAAGAAGTGTTTTAGAAACGCGTGGTAAGGGCATGATATAATAACGGCTGGTACGCCGATTTATTCACTGAAAAAGTTCTTCATAAAATCTTTCATTCATTTGTTTATCTTTTGGGAGGAATTGCTCTTTTTGTCTGTTTCATTATCGACAAAAGACCTGGCTTGTTTTTGGTTTTGCTTTTTAAACATCTATTTAACGAATTCATTTATTTATTGTTTGTTTACTGTTCTTCTTTATTCATGAAATCAATGCACACGTCACAATACAGTCACGGAGTGTGAGTGATTAAAAACTGACCTCCTTCCGGCTGAAAATATTGATGAATCAGTTGACCATAAAGATCTCTACAGGCTGCAGCTTTTATTGATTATTGTCTGAAAACAAATGCCACGCACTTGAACACCCACTGCAACTCTCTTTGAATACTTTCAGATAAAACATGAATAAATCAGACTTTGATTTTTTTATTTTAGATTCAGATTTTCCAGTTCTTAGTGGTTTGTAAGCACTAACATGTCTCACTATGCTGTTTAGCTTTTGTTAAACAGTTCTGATTATTTATTCGTGCATGAACAAAAAATATATAAATCAATGTCGATCTAAAAAGTCTGCAGTTTGCTCCTGTGTTTGAAACATAAAACCCTCTACTAAACTCCATAGCTTAACAGTGTTTAAGTCTCTCTCTTCTCCTATTGTAGACCTTTACTCGGGCCTCATAGTGGACCACATGTCACAGGATTTATATGTGAAAGGCTGGGGTAAAATGCGTTCCCCGCTCCTCTCCAACTGCACACTCCCCCATCACGTCTATAACATTAAGGAAGTGAGATTCCGGAGAGGGGGAGCCTTCAGCGACACACAGGATCACTCAAAGTGGTGTGTGACCTCTGATGACAGCTGGGCCTGCATCGCTGACATGAACAGAGAGGAGAGTCAGATGACCAGAGCTGGAGGAGCTATATGCACTGATGACTCTGCAGTGGGAAAGGCTTTTGGAGCATTAATCTCAAAGTTTGACGAATGTAAACGGTCTCACTCCACTGCTCATCAAAGAGAACTGTGAAGGCCAGAGATCCACTAAAAGTCAGACGTTGGAATAAAACTGAAAACACTTGACATGTATTTGTTGTTTCTTGTTATTGTTTTAACCTATTATATTTAAATTGTTAAAATCTAAAACAATAATTATACAAAATTAAACACAATTCACAGAAAAATGAAAAAAATGTTTGACATATAGTTTAATTTCTTGAAAAGAGTGTTTATTATATGTCTCTTAATTATTTGATTAAAATTATGTTGCATTTACAGCCACATAATTTCTTACAATAGGTTCATATGGGAAAAATCTATTATTTAAACACATATATTTTATGCAAAGTACATTTAAAATGGCTGCAAGTTTTTTAAGTAACAAATATTTAAGACCACCAATAAAAAGATTTCTCTTAAATTTAAATCAGCATTCCTGTTATTAATATTAAAATTACAATATATAGCTAATAATAGTTGTAAGAGTTGACTGACTGATAAATCCTCAAGAGTGTTTTCTAATGTAGGAAATCTGTTCAGTTTATCCTGTATATATTATAAATTTTTATATATAATATAATATAATGTAATATAATATAATATTATAATATAATATAATATAATATTATATTATATTATATTATATTATATTATATTATATTATATTATATTATATTATATTATAATATATTATATTATATTATAATATATTATATTACATATATGTTATTTTTCTCCTTTCCATAAGAGGGCGCTCACTTTTTTCAACAGCCTTAAACCTCCCAGAACCCGGAAGAAGTCCCACATGAGCGGATAGTCTTTTCCACACGTGAGAAAGCAGCCCCAAAACACACACCAGCTACTAAAACATGGATTTTACAGAAGTTCCTGTGGACCAGGGCCGCAAAAGTAAGAAAAAGAACAAGAAAGCTCCTATGAAAGACTTGAAGATGGAGGAAGAGAGCAGCGGAGTGGAGAAGCTCGAGCCAGGGACGACGTTTCCCCCAACATTTAGTGTGTCTGAAATCAAGAACAAACAGAGAAGACATCAAATGTTCATGAAGTTAAAGCAGGAGAAAAGAAAGGTAAATTGTGTACCGTCACAACTGTCATTTAATAAAATTGTTCATTCAGCTGGTTGTCCTGGTGCTTAAAGAGCAAGTCACCCCCAAATAAACTTTTTTTTGCTGATAAACTAAATAAACGAGTGTCTAATCGTGCTGCAGACACGTGTAGTCAATAATTTGGCACTTCAGTGCATCTTAGTTCAAATTTGAATATTCTGCCTAAAACTGGCAGTGTTGTGCCGTTGTCAGGTAAAAACTCTGCACTGTATTCTAATTTAAATCTGCCACCGCTATTGGCTAAGAGGTGTGCTATGATGTCATCTGGTACATTATGATGTCCCAATGCTGTTGTGAGCCTGTGTGTGTGTATTTGTTAGCAGCTCCGCCCTCTCGGTCTGCCAGGCAACAGCATTTGTTGCATTTTTCAAACATGAAGTGAGAGCGGAGTTAGAAACTGGTAGGGGTTGATTTGCTCTTTAAGCTAGTTCCGATCAAAATAATTCTCATCTCTAAGTTTAGGATATAAAATACTTTTAAAATATTTTAAATACTTCATTTCTTTACTTCTTCTGTTTGCAATTAAGTGTTTTATCTCTTTATTTTAGCAAAAAATGCAACTAAAGAAGAAGAGGAGGAAAGAAAGAGAAGCTTTGGGTGACAAGGTGAGTCATTTCCTCTCAGATAAGTTAACAGATGTCTGTTCAGTCATTTTTCCAAACATTTAATGACGCCTCTCATTCTGATCCCAACAGGCTCCACCAAAGGAGGTCCCCAAAACAATAGAGAACCAGAGGGTCTTTGATGAGACGACAGTCGACCCAGAAGACGAAGAGGTGCAGACTCTTTTTAACTCACTGAAATTGTTTTGTCTGATATCCTTCATGCTCAGTTTTTGGGAACGTGATCATGTTTTCTGTGTTTTTTCATGTCCAGATTGCATTTGATGAAGGAACTGATGAGTTTTCTGCATATTTCAATGGGCTGACAAATCCCAAAGTGCTCATCACAACATCAGACAGACCCAGAGGGGTGAGCGGCTTAGCCACAAAAACAAAAGTTTCATTAGATTTGTTTATTTTCATGTGAAAGTATACCAGGAATGTCAGCTATCTGTCAAATTAGGAAATGTTTTTACATTTTCAAATTCCCACGTGGGCAGTTTTCTAGTTATTTAAATGCATGGTTGATTTATTTATTTATTTTAATTTTTTATTCAAGTTTTTTTTATTAAGTTTTCCAAATTTTTACATACAAACAAAAACAAAATACCCAAATAACCCCCCCTCCCCTCCCATACAGCACTGGTTAACTCAAAAACACTCACAACCACCATTCATAATAACTTCAAAACATGCTATCCAACCACTTTTATATCTTTTTACCAATAAAAAACAAAAATTCATTCCAAGTTTCAAAATATGAGTCTTTTTTTCCCTTCATTTTAGCAATTAATAGTTGATTTATTTTTAAACACATTATAGGAGTTTGTACATAGGTTTAACAGCTTTCGTTCATAATGAAATTTGAGTGCTAATGCTACATTGTTTAGTAATTTCTAAATTTAAAACATTTTATACCATAAATAACCCAAGTGACCTTTTTAGACTGACATTTAGTTTCTGTTATTGACATTATAACTATCGAGTTAGGTTTCTCTTTAACTTGTCGTTTTAAACCCTGATTATAAATCTTTTTGTCTGTTCTGTCCTGCAGAGAGTGGTGAAGTTTTGTGAGCAGCTGGCTACAGTCATCCCAAACGCCCATGTTTACTACAGAAGAGGTTTGGCCCTGAAGAGGATCATTCCTCAGTGCATCGCCAGGGACTTCACCTACCTGATCGTCATCAACCAGGATCGACAAACACCCAGTATCCTGACATTTAGAGAGATGCTCAGTACTGATTCATCGAATGCTATCTGTTGGAAAATCTTTCTCACCTTTTGTTGAGAAGGAACACATTGAATTTGTATTTATTCACCTAAGATAAGTAATTTTAGCACTTCTGAAAAGTTTGCATCCTTAATGGGTCACTTAAGATGGCTTGGTTCTCTGTCATCTCCCTGATGGGCCAACGGCACACTTTAAAGTCAGCAGTGTTCGGCTACAGAAAGAGTTGAAGGCAAGTTACATCCACTGCTCCACTGAAAGGGACATGTTTCCACCTTAAACATTGTGAGCGTGCATGCTACACCGCCCCACAAAATGTGATCACTGCTGGTTTGGTCATTTTTGCATCATTGTTGATAAATGGCAATCCTCCAACTTAAATAGAACAGACTATTGATCTCACAGTGGGGAAATTCACTTCCTACAGCAGCACAAACAGAGAAAAGAAAGAAAAATAATAAGATTACAGGTATCCACACATGGGCAGTAAGCAATTATTGTAACCATCAACCACTAAAAACAACAAATAAAAAGGAAACTTGTGTTTCCAGAAATATGCAGCATAAGGGACACAGACATACTAATGTTCATCAGGTGTCGCACAAGTATTGAACACATACTGAGTATTGCATTGATGTTATTGTGTACCAGGATAATGTCAGTACCAGTTAAACTGAGGAGTTATACTCTCTTACTGCAGAGGGAATGAATGACCTACGGTAGGATTTTGTTTTACATCTGGGATGTCTCAGTCTGCCACTGAAGGAGCTGTCCATGGTCTCCACATGGGGGGGGGGGGGGGGGGGGGGAATGAAGGTCATGTTCCCCAGCATCCTCCTTTCACACATCTCCTCAACTGAGTACCTACCATACCAATTTATTTCTATGGCACATTTAGAAACAGCATGGGAGCTGACCAAAGTGCCTCCCAAACAACAACAAAAAAACAGGCACATAAAATACAGATAAAACAATCAATGCAGATAAAAAATGTAGTCAAAGCACAAAGTAAATAAATAAAAACTAATTTAAAGAAGACTCACAATCTAAAAGCCGAATCATAGAAATGTGTCTTCAACCATGACTTGAAGGCGCCGGTGGATGATGACTGTCGAATAGTGATTGGTAATATAGTGGCAGGCAGCCCAGAACCGAACTAACTTTTTTAACTTGTTCGGTCTCTTTCTGTCTCGGTCAGAGCTGCCTGCACCCCAGCAGACCACAGCAGAGTGGATAACAGAGCCAACAACAGAGTGGTAAAAGGATCTTAGCAGATGGAAATAAACTCCGAAGGACCCCAGCCTCCTCAGGAGGTGGAGGCAGCTTTGGACCTTCTTATAAAGAGCATCTGTGTTGTAGGACCAGTTCAGTTTACTATTGAGGTGAACACTGAGGTACTTAAAGGTATCCACCACCTCAAATCAACTTCTCCCTTCTACTGCTTGAAAGTGGAATTACGATGATCATAAACAACCCTGCCTCAGCCTGTTGTAGCTAGCCCCAACAACGAGCTAACATTAACGTGAGCCATCTAATACTAAGAAGGCTTGTGGACCATTTCGCCCTCGTCTGCCGACCATGGGGGGGTTGATTCTTCAGCGTCAGATATTGTAGGTGTGGTGTGAGCGCGTGTGAAGAGGGTCAAATGCATGTGTCTCAAGCTCAATGCGTGTGAGTTGGCAGCCCTGCTTTAGAGTTGCTTTAAAGACGTCTAATCTAATGTTAAAATAAAAGATGCATTCATGCAGGATTGATCCTGAGGTTCTTTTAATGGTTGTTTAAGTGTCTTAATGGTCTTGGGCCTTCTTATATCTCAGAATTGCTTTTATCATATGAACCCTCACGGCCTCTGTGCTCCTCTGGTCATCCCTAAAGTCAGGACACACACTCACGACGAGGCGTCCTTCCAGTATCACGGCCCTCGCCTCTGGAACGAGCTGCCAGAGAACGTTCATGTTTTCAAGAGCAGGCTCAAAACCCATCTCTTTAGGTTAGCTTTTATGGTTTTATTACTCGTTTTACATGATTATATTTTAGCATTGTTTCATTATTTAATTATATTATTATTTTACTGTCTACATGATTCTATTTATTCATTTTCTTTAGCATTTATATTGGTTCTTTTAATTTTACTCATTTTAATTTAGTGTTTCCTCTGTGGGGGCCCTCTGCCCCGGGGGCAGTGGTCGACTTTTGCTGCCTGGGCGCAATACAGGTAGTGTTTGAGTGGTGGTGGGGGTCTGTGCCCTCCCCCCTCTGGGGCGCCCTGACTTAGTTGCTGTGGTTGACCTGATGCTGCCGGGGCTGACGGCTCCTCTGATGGCATTTCCTTGCCCACCTTACTTGGCTCATCTGAACTCGGCTAAATCTAATAATATAATTTTTAATTATGTTAATGGGTGTGTGTGAGTGTGTGAGATTTTTAATGCTTTTAAACTGTTATGGGAATTTGGGGTCATTTTGATTCTGTAAAGCACTTAAGAGTCGCACTTTTGCTTGAAAAGCGCTTTATAAATAAAATCGGATTGATTTGCAGCACACTGTTGTCAGGTTGAGAAGCTGTCTTCTTTCAGATCTCCTGGAAACATTGTGCTAAATCCCATCATTAATAGAGCAGACGTTTTCCGTTTATGTCACTGTCCTGTTTTCTCTCCAGAGACGAGGTAAAGCCCCAACTGAACACTCTCCGGAGGTCATCCTCAATAATTTCTCCACACGCCTGGGACACACCATCGGCCGGCTGTTCGCTGCTCTCTTCCCACAGAACCCTCAGTTTGTGGGCCGACAAGTTGCCACTTTTCACAACCAGAGAGACTTCATCTTTTTCAGATTCCACAGGTGAACTCCTTACCTGGGATTTCCACACTCATTCATACATAGTCCTCCATATGAAGCTCAACATAAGGTGTTATTTCACCGAATATTCCAGAACTTATCAGCCATTGTCCTTTTTCCTTGTTTAATTGTAAAATTTACAAGATCAGGTTTTTATCTGCATCACACTTTTTTCTTTTTTGCTCTAACTGTTTAGTAATTGTGTTCTTGCTCTACGTGGGTCTAAAAGTTGCACCTGCATTTATTTATAAAGACTTGAGATTAGTAAAGTTTTAGAATTTTTATGATGGTTAATAAATAATTTCTATTTTCAACAGGTACATCTTCAAGAATGAGAAAAAGGTTGGCATTCAGGAGCTGGGGCCGCGCTTCACTCTCAAACTTCGATCTCTTCAAAAGGGCACCTTTGACTCAAAGTATGGGGAGTTTGAATGGGTGCTGAAGGTGAGTCTATTCTTCACACAGCTCTTTGTTAACCTGGTATCCTCTAAATATACGTGCATACTCTTCATTAGTTCTTTTATGAATAAAATGGTGGCACAACTTAAACTAATTATTTAAATATTTGTTATTTTCAGCGCCATGAAATGGATGCCTGCAGACGGAAGTTCCAGCTCTGAGTTTGCAACAGACAAGGATGTCGTTTCATCTTCAAGTTAATTGTGGACTTGTACAAAATAACTTTAGAAAATCCCAGATTGAGTAACAGCTGTGACGAGCTACAACTTTCACCTCCCCTCTTGGTTGTTTTTTAATGTGTTAATATTTGATTCGGTGTTGCTGAAACATTTAGGTTCACAGTGCTTGTCTGGCTTCACCTTTTGTCTCAACATAACTCAGTAGGGTTGAGGTAAAAGCTCCTGGATGGGATGATGTCATAGTCTTTTGAAAACATTCAAGTGAAATTTACTACAGGTTCTAACATCTAGAACAACCTATCCATGTTGTGAAAATGTAGATATGTAGATTTTTTTAAAGCTCAATACTATGATCCCCATGGCAACAGGTAAATATAAGGCTAATCCACCAGAGCTTGTCCTGACAAATCCTGATGTTTATCTAAAACAAGTGGAGGAATATTTCTAACCTGATGAGGGAAAAGGGACTGCAACAGAAGATAACTGCTCAAACACTCATTTTGTGACCATTCTTGGGAAAGGACGACGTGTTGCTACAAGTCTAAAATGAGAAAACATTTATTTTTAATCAGTTGTGAAAAATGTACATGAAGAAGGCACGTGTGAGTTCAGGCAACTTAGTTCTATGCAAGAAGGCTAAAACATCTTTTCTCACAGGAAGTTATTCTGCAGTAGATTTTACCAAAAAAAAAAAAAAAGGTGAAATGTACTTAAAAAGCTTAAGTTAGTTGTTCTCTGGCCCAGATTTCCCAAACACTCCTGAGACTACTCCAGTCCGTGCAGCACCACATCTTCAAAGGTCTGGAAAAGAAAATGTCAGATTGGTTGAGACTACATTTAATGATTTACTGTAACAAAAATGAAATTCTAATACAATAAATTCCTTTTAAGAGGCCACTTTAATGGCTAAGTAGCTAAAACATTGTCTCTATGACCTTGAGTTTATTCTTAATCTAACAGAAGTTTGACATGTTTCTAAACTCGTCATAAATCTAAATTTTATTCAGTAAACTGGGTAAATTACTAGGATGTTGAACAAAGTTACACAAAAAGTATTTATAATGCTGGTTTTCTAATGAGCTCTAACAGAACCACAGGGTCGTTATTTAGTGAGTCAGGCGGTGCTTACAGCGGCCTGTCGGTGCTATAGGAAGGAGCAGACTTTCTGGGGTCTGAACGGGTTGTTGCTGGACGACATGCCGGTGAGCAGAGGGTCCTGCTGGGCGTTCTGCATACAGAACTGCTGGAGGTCCGCTGCGGCCTGTGAGACCTAAGGAAAACAAAACAGCCATTAACGAGATGGTTTCTACTGAATTACTCAACACACCAACGGTTTACCACAACAATGACCGTTACCGAAACGCAAAGAGAATATTTTTATTTACAAATGACCGAATAACGGGACACCCGTCCTAAAGAGTAACGACGTGTTTCAGTTGATACCTTAACTCTGTTTATGCCAGCCTCAAAACGCAACTGTTGGACGATTTTCTTCATCGCGACGATGTTGGCTGCTCCCGGCATTATTTAGATGTGGAATGGCTTTAATATTCTACAGATAAATGTAAAGTAGTTTAAACAAAAACACTGGCGGCTGGTACACGTACTAGCTAGCTTATTAACTTTTTCTTTTTCCGGTTTTCTTTAAAAGGGTGTCAGCCAGTGCTGCGTTCAAGTGACAATTCAAAATTAGAAATCTGTGAACTTCTGTTTTTTTTTTATCTTCGCAAAGTTTGATTTCACTGCAAATGTAACAAGAAACACAGCATTTTTGTTTATCATGATAGAAGTAACTACATTGCACATACTTTGGGTTACTTATTATGTTAAATGAAAAATGACCCGCACTTGTATAGTGCTTTTTTTAGTCAGAGGACTCCAAAGTGTGCTACACTACAGTGCATTACTCATCCATGCATAACACCCAACCTGGAGGTCATAAGCTTCATTGTGACCACAGTTGCCCTGTGGCACACAGACGGAGACTAGATCCCTCAGACCACCACCAGCGACTGGGTTAAGTGTCTTGCCCAAGGACACGTCAGTTCAGGACAACCTGCTCTCTACCTCCAGAGCTACTGCCCCATTATGTTGTTAAAATATTAAAGTCACACTTGGCAGTTTTGCTTGCTTTTAGCACCCCCTAGTGTCCGTTATTAATTCTCTGTGGTCAAACAATAAGAAAAACCTTTCTCCACACTGTGCGTTTTATATTTTTTAACACTTTAATGTAACCACTGAAACGTCTCCCAGCCTTCCTAAGATACTACAGGAGTGATTTATCACTAAATTAAACAAATCAGCTGGGTTCATGATCCAAAACATGCAGGAATCAGACTGAAGCGTATGTCAGCTTAATCTTAATAAGTGATAGAAGTAACTACATTGCACATACTTTGGGTTACTTATTATGTTAAATGAAAAATGACCCGCACTTGTATAGTGCTTTTTTTAGTCAGAGGACTCCAAAGTGTGCTACACTACAGTGCATTACTCATCCATGCATAACACCCAACCTGGAGGTCATAAGCTTCATTGTGACCACAGTTGCCCTGTGGCACACAGACGGAGACTAGATCCCTCAGACCACCACCAGCGACTGGGTTAAGTGTCTTGCCCAAGGACACGTCAGTTCAGGACAACCTGCTCTCTACCTCCAGAGCTACTGCCCCATTATGTTGTTAAAATATTAAAGTCACACTTGGCAGTTTTGCTTGCTTTTAGCACCCCCTAGTGTCCGTTATTAATTCTCTGTGGTCAAACAATAAGAAAAACCTTTCTCCACACTGTGCGTTTTATATTTTTTAACACTTTAATGTAACCACTGAAACGTCTCCCAGCCTTCCTAAGATACTACAGGAGTGATTTATCACTAAATTAAACAAATCAGCTGGGTTCATGATCCAAAACATGCAGGAATCAGACTGAAGCGTATGTCAGCTTAATCTTAATAAGTAACAGAACAGCCTACAGGCTGAAGTTGCAATGCAATATTCTGGCCACAGAGAGCAGTGGGCGTCTGAGTGACATTTAATTTTAGCACACACTGGCTCAAGGAAAAGATTTTAAAATATTAACATTTAGCAAAGTATGGCTTCAACATTAAACCCTAATTATAGGCAATAATCTCTAATTTTCTTTTTAAGTCATTTTGTCGGTTTTCATGATGCAAACTTATTTCATATCGGTGTTATGAACTGAAAATTCTGATTTGTGTGTTTATATGTTCTCCCATTGCTCTTGAAAGCAGCATCACATTACTTGAAATTGCACCTCCTAGTGGTAACAATGTGTTTTACCTAAAACAGAAGTGCTGCTGTAGGTAAAATAATGTTTCATAAACGCAGTTAACCTACAATTATACAACTCAATTCAAAAATACTTTATTAATCCCAGAGGGAAATTGATTAATACAATTTATTTGTAGGCTGAACAAATCTAAAAAAAAAATATTTTTTTAAATATAACCAGTAGTTGTGTCAGTGAACAGCTGGTATAACAGCCTTTTTATTTTTTAGATTAGGGAGTTACTATAATTTATACTTTATATTCACACTACTGTTATTATTGTCTCTTGTTTCTATTTCTCATTATTTGTCTCTTGTGCTTCAGCGTGTCATATTGTGCACATTTCATTTTATCTTATCTATACCTTATCTCTGCTCTTCCTCCTCTATCTGCTCCCTCTTCAGCACATCAGAGCTCCTTTAAAGGAATCTCCTACCATCTTTATGCAGATGACATCCAACTGTACATCTTCTTTAAGCCCCAGATGTCTAAGCTGCAGCTGTTACACACCTGCTTAGACTCTCTCAAAACCTAGATGCTGGGAGCTTTCTACAGCTGAATGAAGATAAGACTGAGATCCTCATCTGTGCCCCAGACAAGCTGGTTCCCAAAGTCAGAGACTCCCTTGGTCAGCTTGCTTCCCACACCAAACTTTCCATCAGGAATCTTGGCGTGACCTTTGACCCAGCTCTCACCCTGGATTCTCATGTCAGTTCTCTTGTTCGCTCTTCCTTCTTCCATCTCAGGAACATTGCTAAGCTGAGTCCCATTCTGTCTCACTCTGAACTTGAGACAGTTATCCACTCTCTTTTCACGTGTCTGAGCAAAACCTCCCTGAACCGTCTACAGGTGGTTCAGAATGCCTGTGCTCGGCTTCTGACCAAGTCCTCCAAATACACCCACATCACCCCGCTTCTCCTCCAGCTTCATTGGCTGCCAGTCAACTTCAGGGTTCATTTCAAGATCCTGGTTCTGGTCTATAGGGCCTTACATGGACAATCATCATATTACATTGGTGATCTTCTTAGTCCCTACACCCCCAGCAGGTCCCTGAGGTCCAGTGATCAAAGCCTACTGGTTGTGCAGCGCACCAGGCTAAAGACTCATCTTTTTAGCTTAGCTTTTAACTGAATACCCTCACTTTTTAAATGTGATTAATTAATTAATTAGTTTATTTATTTATTTGATCTATTTGTTTTATTTATTTAATGTATTCTTTCTTTATGCGTGCTTTTTAAACAGTTTTTTACCTTTATTTATGATCAACTTATTTTAATATCTATATAACTTTTTATTTTACAATTCTCATTTTAGCTCTTTGGATTTTATATTTTAACCTTTTTCCAGTGCTTCCGCTGTGGGAGCCCTCTGCCCTGGCGGTGTTGGATTGGCTGTGGTGGCCTGGGGGTTTTCTATGTGTGCCTGGGTGGTGGTGGGGGTCTCTGCCCTGCCCTCCCTGGGCGCCCGGTGTCAGTGCCTCGGCTGCTGCTGTGGATCTGCTGCTGTCGGGGTGGATGGCTCCCCTGATGGCGTTTCTTATCCATATCTTAGCTGGTCTGGCTCATCTGATCTCAGCCAATCGTGTGTGTGTGTGTGTGTGTGTGTGTGTGTGTGTGTGTGTGTGTGTGTGTGTGTGTGTGTGTGTGTGTGTGTGTTGGTGGAGGAGTGTTGTGAAGGGTTTTTTATTGTCAGACTGTTTTTAAAATTCTGGGGATGGGAGGGAATGTGGGTATGTGGGGCTTTTTTAATTTGTTAAGCACTTTGAGTTGCATGTATTGTATGATTGGACAAAAGCGTCTGCTAAATACATAAACATGATTAAGTGCTATATAAATAAAGTTGATTGATTGATTGATTGAAGACCAAAGGTGACAGATCATTTTCTGCTGTGGCCCCAGACTCTGGAAAGCTTTCCCCCTGAGCCTGAGATCAGTGGTCTTCTTTAAAAAGCACCTGAAGACTCACTTGTTCAAAGTGGCTTTTGTATGACCTTCTTCAACCCCTCTCTCTTTATTCTGCTCTCCCCACCTATTCCACCTTCCTCAGGATCCACTGATTTCCCTCTGTCCTATTCACTCTCTCTCTCTTTCTTAACATTTTTTAATCACAATTGTCTATTTTTGCTAATTTTAAATATATTTTAACCATTTTTTAAATTATTTTTAATATTTTTACATTTTTTGTTTTTGTGAAGTGCCTCATGATTTTCATCTTGAGAGGCACCATAGAAATGATATTTTCTTCTTCTTTTCTTCTTCTAGCATGTTTTTCTACTTCTGTGAATTGGACTGAGTCCAGAAGAAAGAATACTTGACTTGACTATAAATAAAAAATCTGTAAACCTTTTCCCCTGAATTAGCTTGACAGAACTGTAAGAAAATATACATTTGTTTCCACTTTCATTTTTCTGGAAATCAATTCATCTGAGAGTTTTGGGACAGGGGCGTGTCCAGGGAGCTGCCTGAGGTAGCAAATGCCACCCTTGGAATCTGATTGGCCACCCCAGGGCCCACCACACTGAATTCCCTTTAAATATGCTTTTCATTGTCCACAAAAGGCTTGGGGTAAAACAAAAAAAAATTATACGCATAACCATTGGTGCCACCCATGCACAAAGTAGTGCCTCACCTGGGCCACCCCATTTTAAAAGATCTGGACACGCCACTGTTTTGGGAGTTTGCTTTTCTTTCTACAAGTGTGTGTCTTCAGCACCAGAGCAACCCAGTGTGGTATTCTCATAAAAGAAACTCCACTGGTTGAGTGTTCTTAAGCACAACAGAGTTTTTTGGGAAGTTTTCATAAGAAACTTCACCAACGCCTTGAAAATATATATTTTTTAGTATTTCACTGCCTTCTTTGTGCTAAATTGGATTAATAATGGAGTTGTGAATCGCCGGGACAACAGAGGAAATGAGACCCGCCAGTTGTAAGGTATGTTCAGGCTTTTCAAAATTGCAAAATCTCTTTATGAATCTGAGGTGTGTGCAAACGGTGAAAAAGTGTTTTATTTTATTTTTGTGTGTAGTTTGTGGAGCTTCATGTGCTGTTTGTGCCATGTGACCAGTGGAATGTGAAACTCAACAAAATCTCAGCCAAAGCCACAGAGAGCTTCATATCTGCTGGCTTTATCAGGTGAAACTGTTGAAAGTGTTTGAGCAACATGTTAATTTAAAGAATATAAAAACTCATCAGAGCCATGGATTTACATTAAATATCCCATTTAGTTTTTCATGTTCGTTTTTTAGGAAACTATCAAATTAAGCATGTTGCTTTAAAGCCAAATGCAATTTTTCATAGTTTTAAATCATTTTCTTTAGCCAGTATGTGCTAAATGCCACACCGCCCCCTGAGGCCAGAATATTGCACTTGCAACTTCAGAGTGTCAGTCTGGTCCCTGCTGGACTTGGAAAAGTGAAGCTGCTTGGAGCTGCTTCCAGCATGTTTCCTGCATGTTTATAATCACAAACACAGCTGATCTGGTAGATTTAGTAATGAATCACTCCTGTAGACACTAATGAAGACTGAGGAGACATTTCAGCTGTTAGATTAAGGTGTTAAAAAGACAAACGCACAACGAGGAGAAAAGTTTCACGTCTGGTTTTACTAAACGGACACTAGAGGGTGCGGAAAGCAAGCGAAACTGCAAAGTACCCCTTAAAAATTGGTGCTTCCATGTATCATTGAAGTCTAGTTATGAAATACTTAGTTGACACATTTCCCCCCCTTTTGTGATAAAACAGCAAAGCTTCAGATATGAATGTTCACAGCATAATTATGTCAGCTAAGTTATTACAACTTTGTGAGTGCTTGTGTAAAGCAGGAAGAAACAAGATGATGGTGAACACTTTTCTCACAAGTCTTGTAGATTTCATATCTTATAAACACAATCATGGTTTTGAAAGTTTGTAAAAAGTCGTAACAGATTCAGGTTTCTGATGCTTTTTGTGAACTGAAGCTTGTACTAAAAATCAGACCAACTTAATAAAGAAACACACTTGCACTTGTAATGTTTCCAGCCCTGCAAACTCCCTGACTGGTGTAAAAATAAAAAGATCATTTCTACTTGCCCTCACACATGTAGGGTCTATCCTGATATCACATTGAGAACTCTGCGGGCTGAGCTGGCTGCTTTCCTTGGCGGTGAGAAGGACGTCAATAAATTCTCTTTTCTGAGATGCGTGGGCCAAAGTCTGGCTGTGGTGAGTGCAGCAGGCAGTTAAGTACCCTTTTGTAGAGCTGATTGTGCTCCACAATGCAGACCGTAAACTATAACACTTAAGTTTATGGGTGTGTGCGTGTAAACATAAAAATTCCTCTTTTACAGGTGAAAAGCAGTCAAGAGAAAGACCTGAAAGTGAAAACATTTGCACCTCCTTACGTACGTAAAATTCATGTTTCCTACATTTAGTAAATCGTGTTAAGCTCTTGTAAGAAGTTGTTGTCACCTGTCTGCAGGCAGCTCAGCCAGAGCTTTACCTGCTGCCTGCTGTGGAGGCAGACAGCAGCTTCTGCTCTCGTTCCGTCACCACGGATACCAGCAGCAGCTCCCCGGAGCAGCAGATCTGTTACCAGCCTCTAAAGTTGTGTGGCGTGCCGACTGGGACAAAGAAGCCTGTTAAATTCCCCCACATTCCTCCGTGTTCCCAGCAGCTACCTCCTCCCTCTGAGCTGGAAGAGGAGGGCGAAGAGGAGGAGGAGGAAGACGATCGGAGCTGCAGCTCCTCAGAGGGTGAGGTTGAGGAGGAAGCTCTGTGCTGCATGAGGAGAACTGAACAGGAGGATCACACAGTGAAGCCTCAGAGCCACAGAGCATTGCAGCTTGTTTCAATGAAAAAAGGTACAATTAAAGGTGCATTTCACATTTCCTCTACGAGTCCTCGGTCATTAAAGTAGCAGCACGTTAAAATCTCTACCAAACTCTCACAGCGTTGTTGTCCTCCAGCTTTAGACAGATGTGAAGCTGCTGCAGCTCAGGTGAGGTGGTTACCTCACAGAGAGGAAACCTGCTCAAAGACGAAACACAGAGACGGACTTTCAGCCGAGTGTCTCGAGGGCCAAGATCCAGGCGTGTCCCTCAGAGACAGGTACTGTGTCCCATATCATCTCTGTGCAGAACAACACTTATACTCTTTATTTATTTTTGTGTTTTCCATGGGTAGAAACTCCAAAGACGTGCACGCTCTGACGTCCTTGAGGAACAAACCCACAGCTGGGGTGTGTGGAGGTTTAGATTCAGTAAAACCTGCCTCTCCTGTCACAAACAGTAAGCTCTGCTCACATGCTCAGGATTTAATGCTACTTTTGTTGATTACAACAAATGTTTTGTTTCTGAAAGGAGAGGAGCTAATCGAGACACTCAAACTAGTGAAGGAGGAGAGACGGGAGCTGGAGTGGACAAGACAGCAGCTCCTGAGGAAAGGGAAGGACTTGTTGTCTCAGAACAGGCATCGCAGGAACCAAGGTGGACATAAAACTCAAGAGGATCTTCGTCTGATTCTTGAGAAATAAAGTTCTGTTTTTTGTCTTGCCTGTCCACACGAAGCACGTGACAGCTGGAAGAAGAAATACTTTGGAACCAAGAAGGCCACAGCACCTCTGGAGGACAAACTGAGACAGCTAAAACTAGAACTGGAGACACTTTACAACAAAGCCCTGCACCAGCTGCAAATCAGGAAGAGCTTAGGAAAACCACTGAGACAAGGGAGGACATCAGGAAAGGTTCAATCAAATCGTGTTTTCATTAGATTTTAATGCTTTTACTGCATAATTCACATTAATACACATATTAGGAGCAGATGCATTCAAACAAACTGTACTACTGTATCCTTATAATACAGCTTTCTGATGAGCAAGAATCTGCTTCCTACTTGTTGGTTAAAATTTTTAATCTTTGCTTCTTGGAAAACCTTTTAATCTCATGTCAGCTCAATAAATTAATCTAAGGTGAATAATTTCAGAACGAGCTCATCATTCAGATCATGAAGGAGAACTTTGAGATCGACAACATGAAGAGGAAAGTAGAAGATGCAGAAATGAAGCTGATAACGGAGATGAAGGTAATTTTATTTTAGCGTTGACATCAGTTCTGAACCTAGCTTGTAAAAAGAAACCCATTTTATCCCCACGTGTAGTTGAGGAAGCAGGCAGCTACAGAGCTGGGAGCGCTGAAGGTTGAGCTTGCTCAGAAAAGGAGTCAATCATCTCATCCTGGACTGACGGGAAACACGGCACGGGAAAAAATGCAAGTGTCATCGACGACCTCTCTTCTGGGTTCTAACAGTGTTGCACACGTGTGAAGCTTTCTGTGAAAGAGCCAGGCAAGATGGAGGAACCACCAACGGAGGAACTGTTGTCACATCAGAAACAAGTTATTCAGTTCTGCTGCAGTAAGGGCATTTCTACTGGCATTACCTCTATAACTGCATGCTACACAATTCCCAAAAAAACAGACAAGCTAAAAAACAAAGAAGCTTAAGAGCACAGGAGATAATGATAATTCATCCATTTTCATCCGCTTATCCGGGGTCGGGTCACGGGGGCAGTAGCCTAAGGTGAGAGGCCCAGACTTTACTCTCCCCAGCCACTTGGGCCAGCTCCTCCGGGGGAATCCCAAGGCGTTCCCTGGCCAGGTGAGAGACATAGTCCCTCCAACGTGTCCTGGGTCTTCCTTCAGGCCTCCTCCCGGTTGGACGTGCCCAGAAAACCTCACCAGGGAGGCGTCCAGGAGGCCTCCTGACCAGATGCCTGAGCCACCTCAACTGGCTCCTCTCGATGTGATGATGATAATAATAAACTATATTTAAATGGAGTTCAAAGTGAACAAGTACATGAAAGGAAACTTAGTTAAAAACCACATGTTGAATATATCAAATATCAAGTGTCCAAATCTATTTCAATACTCTACGAAATAAACAAAACAGCTTTGTTTTTGATTTACTGTTCTTTAGTCCTTATTTGTCATATTGTGCTGAGATTTCAGCGCCTTGGGCTTCCTGACAGGGTTGCGGAAGGCGCTTTATAAATAAAGCTTTGATTGATTGATTGATTGATTGATTGATTGATTGATTGATTGATTTGGGGAAGTGCGAGGAAAATATGTATAGATTCTATTTAAATGACAAAAAAAAGGCCATATAGAATGGTTCACAACATGGGATACCAGCCAACAATTTATTTATACAAAATTAAAATGTAAAATTAAGTGCCATTGTAAAGTTAAAGTCTTAGAAATTCTCCATAGAGTAACTAATAAATATATCCCTAATTGTGTACTAGTTTTTTTCTAACTAAGAGATAACCATTACAGTCTTAGAGGTGTGTTTATTTTTGAATGTGCTAAGCAAGAAATGATATTAAATGAAGGTGTTTATGGTGTGAAATTATCGAATGAGCTAAAAGATGACAACGCAACGTACTTTATCAACATTTTCATCTTATGTTAGGTTTTAAATGCCTAATGAATCCGAAAAGTATGTGTAAAACATTAAAGTCCCACTCTAATTATCTTTTTTAGCTGTTTTAAAATAGTTCTCAGTGGTCTTTAAACTATGATTCTTCTGTTTTTAGACAAAATTACGAAACTTGTGCCGCTTTGGTGTTTATATAGAGGCAGTGGCTCATTAATGATTTGCCTCTGGGTTGTGGGCGGAGCTGAGGACAGGGACAAAGGACTTACACGCAGAGGACCTGGGTTCAATTGCATGCTGGGCCAAATTTCTTTAAATTAGTTTAGAAATTTGGACCGATCGCTTGGACACAAGCCGCTCAGAGAGGACAAAGCAGCGTGCCGTGCTGCAGGTGGACGACAGAATCGGACAGGTAGAGGGAAGGAGGACCTCAGAGCAGCAGACAGAGCAGGTGGATTACTTGTAAGCAACAATCCGAACCACTGAGATCATCTCTGGGATCATCATATTTTTTGTTGCTTAAAAGTCGTCCACCTGCTCTGTCTGCCGCTCTGAGCCCCTCCATCACTCCACCTGTCTGATTCTGTCCTCCACGGTGCTGCTTTGTCCTCTCTGACCAGCTTGTGTGCAAACGAGTTTGGTCCAACTTTCTAAACTGATTTGAAGAAATCTGTCAGCTTTATGTTTTGGACTTGTGTGCTGGTTGCCTGCTCAGCAGTAGCAGCATCTTCCTGGAGCTGCACCAGAATTACACGGCGTAAAACGAACTCGGGGTTCCCACAGCTATGCAACCTACTCCTAGCCCGGCCTCACCCTTTTTTCCAGGACCATGTCCCAAACCACACACGGTGCAGTTCTGCTCAGGAGGAGGCATGCTGTAGCACCCTGTTGTGACCTCTGCTTTACATATACACCTACTGGCCACTTTATTGGGTAGCCTACAACCTTGCTAGTACCAGTTTGGGCCTTTGCCTCCAGAACTGCCTTTAAACCTGCCCATGTAAAACGCATTGCACTACATTATATCATACATCGCATTAACACAGCTGAAATAAGGTTAGGTTAACAAACAGCAGCTACAGCGTGAAGCACTGACGTTACTGTCCTGTAGATAAATGATCCCAGCAAACATTCAGACGTTTGATGACCGTTGAAACGAAGTCAGTCCAAGACGTCCGGTCATGGTTAAAAAACTGCTCCAAAGTGAAAGTCGAACATTTTTCTGGCTGTGATTTCCACATCTTCCGGCGCGTCTCATTTGGACGTTTATTAATAAAAAAGTGGGAGTCTTATTACTGTATTAACGTATTATTGTAAAAATAAATTTAAAAAAACCTTTGACAACTGAGCTAAAATGTCATGTGTGCCAACCTGGATTTGAACTCCGGTCCTCTGCAGCTGAGTCAGGTGTCTTACTAGTTGACATTTGATAAAACTCCTCAGGGGGCAGAGCGGTGTAGAATTTATGCTCCACCCACTGGGTTTGTGACATCACAAACCCAGTCAGTTTTAGACTGCATTTTTTTTCTCATCTGCTGCTGATTCACAGCGGTTTGAATGCAGAATACAATTTTGAGGTTTAATTTCTTTAGACGTGTCTTGTAGAATAAGAAAAAGGCCTCAAGAATGTGTCATAATGGAAAAGCCACTATTTTCATTTGAGGGGGTCTTTAATGATTTTTTTGTTTTTGCAAAAAAGTGATTGTGAAGATGTAGAGCAGCCAGAAGGTCTTCAAGTTGAAAGAAGTAGAGGCAAACTGCAGCACATGGACATTTTTCCTTGAGAGCCAAAAATGCTTCTCAGGCATTTATTTCACTGCTTTCCTTTTACAGATCACACAATAACAAAATAACCTCCCCAAGCCTCCACCTGGCTTCCTTTAAATACCCCAGAAAATCACACCTGCAAACAATCAGCCCCAATCATCAGTTCTCCAACATTAAATCCAAAAGGAAACGAACATCCACATAAATGTACCTAAATGTTAACATAAAAGACAAAACTGTTTTTACAATACAAGAAACATTTCCACACTAAGACCAAAGAAACAAATCCCACTTCCTTTGGTTTGTCCAAATGAAGCAGCCAATCATAGAGTGATCCAGGGAGGTAGTACTGGGTGGGGTGGGCCCTCCCCTCCCCTCACAACCTGCTCTGGATACAAAGCAAACATGAAATCCCAAGTGGTAACTACATCCACACCAGTGCAATATTCACATTTCAGTTCAAATATCCCATCACAGTGCCAGCAGGCTACAGAAATAAATTACAGGGACGAATGGGAAATCATCCATACCACTTCGTCACAGTGATGTAATGAAATTGTACTGTACATAGTCAATTCAAAGGAAATAGCACATATATACATATTATTTAAGAGTAGGCTAAAATAGGCACTGCTTCTGCATATTCCTGTTTAGGCTGAAATCCACGTTTTCTTTGTTTAAAACCTTTTTCCTGTTACCGTGACAACCAAAAACAGAGATGAGATGCTTATTTTCTATGTAGCTGCTCATTAAAATGCAACAATCCCATTTAAAGAGAAAGCCAGTGAGACCAACCAGAGTATTTGATTTTTTTTTATCTATGACAAAGTAAAACAGAACAGTCTGTCGTGAATACAATAATATAAAAAACAAGGATTCAGTGCAGGTGTGCATCCCTGAGGAGCGAACAACAACAGCATAAGCCACTAATTATCAGCAGGTTTGAATTTTTCCAGTTAGCATCCTAGAAGTGCGTTCCACATCTGCGTGGTCTGATTCTGGGCGTCTGGGTCGTCGCTGTAGTCCAGGATGTTTCCGTTCCACATGCCGATGCCCCTCAAGCCTTTAAGCATCACGTAGTTGGCTTTGGCACAAAGGCTCTGTGGGTCATCATACCAAACCTGATGAGCCTTCCCACTCTGGTCCTGAGAGACACACAAACAACCAGCCAAATAAAAGACTTCCTGACCTTTAAAGAATATGTTATTGGAATGTTTTAATGTTATTTAAATAAACAGTTAAAACAGCTTAATGAATAATTCATCTAAACTTTGTTCAGTTTGAACTCATTAAACTGTATGAATGCATTAACTCAGTTTGATGAAGAAAAAAAAAAAGATTGTGCACCTTGTAATTGAAATAAGGGGCCTGCTGCTCGTCGTCCCACATCCTGCCTGACGAGCTTTTGAGCTGCTTCATGATCCACTCGTAGTTTTTTTGAGATCCTGCTGCGTCGCTGCACGGAGCGCCACGGAAAGGAACCTGAGGTATGTAGCAAATTCCCTCCTAGTATGAAAGAACAACAGCAAGATGGTGCAGTGAGATTTCAATTCTTAAAAGGAAAGCAATTAATTATGTTGCTAAATTATTAATAACCCCAATATAAAAATACCCCTGTAATGTCTTTATTACAGTCTTTCCTTATATTAAATGCTAAACGAAAGTAGCACTGGCGGTTAGGGATGCTGTCAAGCTGAAGAAAGCGACCTGACAGGTCTTTTTGGCCTGTGGGACTCCACAGACAGCTGATAGGTACCAGCAGTCCAAGCAGGATGCGGCTGGGGTGGTTGCGGAGGCAAAACCTGGGTGTGGGAGGAATTCGGTGAGACCAGAGAGAAAAATTTGAGGAGATTCTGGTCAGCCATCCGGCGTCTCAGGAAGGGAAAGCAGAGCGCTACAGATTCTGTTTACAGTGAGGACGGTGTGCTGCTGAACTCGACTTGGGACGTAGTGGATCAGTGAGCGGACTTCAAAGACCTCCTCAATCCCACCTGAACGTCTTCCAGTGAGGAAGCGGAGTCTGGGGACTTTTGGTTGGGCTCTTCAATTTTTGGTTCTGAGGTCACTGTGGTGGTCAAAAAGCTCATTGATGGCAAGGCCCAGGGGGTGGGTGAGATTTGCCCAGAGTTCGTTAAGGCTCTAGATGTTGTGGAGCTGTGTTGGTTGACACAACTCTGCAATATCTTGCGGACATCAGGTGCAGTTCCAATGGACTGGCAGACCTGGGTGGTTAGAGGTGAAAATCAAAAACCGGTTCTTGTTTAGAACTGGTTCCCATTTTTTCAATTCCTAGGAATCGTTCGCCACTTTTGCAAACGATTCCCCTCAACAATTCCAGTCAGCGCGAATGATGTCACCACACATGTTGTGTAGCTTACGGGTGCAAGAAACATGGCGTCTAAGCGGCACAAACGTTTGAAAGTTTGGTTATATTTTACAAGAAAGGACACAGTGCTCTCACAAGTATGGCCTTGGGTGTGTTTAACACATAGCCCATGGCTGTGGTTGGCACTAAATGCACTATGATTTATTATCGTGTGTTTTTCAGCAAAAGTTGTTACTGTTGTATCTCCTCAAGCGGTTGAGCGGTTGGCACAGTGATATTTGGGTTCTGTTGTATTTTTATGTGTCCACCGGACCAAACCCCAGATTAGTGGACAAAAATGGATGGATGAACAAAAAAAACCCTACAAAAGTATAAACAGAAATATGCTAATCAGACATTTTGGTTTCAGGGGAGTTATTGCAACTCATCTGGCAAAATATAACCCAGATAAACATAGTTATGCTGCATTCACTGTTGCTGAGAATTTAAATTTTGTTGCTGTAATACGTGTTTTTTTTTAACTTATATGTTTATGTTTATTCATTTAGCAGACGCTTTTATCCAAAGCGACTTACAATTTATAACCTATAGGGCATGTTGTGATCTGTGGAGGAAACCAGAGTACCCGGAGGAAACCCACGCATGCATGGGGAGAACACGCCACTCCAGGCAGAAAGGCCGCAGCCCGAGTTTCGAACCTGCGACCTTCGTGCTGTGAGACAACAGTGCTAACCACTGCACCACTATGCATATTCAACATAATTCCAAATATAAATAAGCCAGTGATGCTCATTCTGCCGTTCTAATGCAGTATAACGTTAACAAGAAAATCCAACTCAGTGTCAGAATATTACATTACTCTAAATGCAAAGCCACCAACCTGTGGCTTTGCTGCAGACAATATTGTTATTATTTACCCTTCAGGTCTATCTTGGTTTTATGAAGTTAAACTATCATAGATTGGACTAAAAATGTTTCAAAAATAAACAACATCACAAGTCTGCCACCATGTGGCCATCCTCAAGGTGTCAGCAAAAAAGAATCAAAAGAAGATAAACGCTGAACTTTGTGTTGAGTATTCAGGAGAAGTAAAGGAATTTAAAAAAAAAGGCTAATTGATTACTAATTAACTTTAAAAAATTAACCAGCTTCAATGACACAATGGCAGAAGTTGTTTAAAAGTTTCAGTCAGCCTTTATTGTTTGTTGGTGTTGATCACAAAACGCCTAGCAGTAAAAGTGATGTTTGTCTCACGCATGGGTTTAGAAAGCAACACCTCTTGTTAAATGCAATACTGACCTATAAAATATTAATGTGCTGCTTTTGAATATGCTCATACCTGGGAAAGGTTGACACACGGGTAATCGTAGCCATACCACGGCACTCCCATCACCAACTTCTTATAATGAATCTTTAGATCCAAATATTCCTCATAACCTAAAAGGACAGAAAACAAACATGTCTGATGGTGTCTAGCTAAGTCTTATATTTACAAGCTGTGTTGTTGTCATTCATAATATGATTCAGAACAACGAACCCTTCAGTGTTTGTTTGAGAGGAGCATTTGCCATTGCAATGCAGTCACCGATGATCTGGCTCTGCTCGTCGTAGGACATCACGAACAGTAGGTCACAGTATTCTGCGATGGAGATGTAATCATAGCAGCGCTTGTCAATGCATTTTGGTGACCAGGCAACATCAAATGAAACCTGAATAGGAGACAAACAAGTGAATATAACATGAGAGTTAATAAATCAATTTCCCTCTGGGATTAATAAAGTATTTTTGAATTTGAATTTGAAATTGAAATAAACCAACTATCTGGACAGAATCTGCTCCAAAACTTTTATGACCTGAGAACCTGGGATTTCCCTGTGGAACGCCTCTGTTGTCTCTTTGACCACTGATGTCAGAGCAAAGTACTCTGGCGAGCCTTTATCCACCTCTTGTTCAATATCAATGTTAATCCCATCCATAAACTGACTCTTGGCCAGACTGATTTGCTTTGTTATCCATGCGGTTCTGTTGGCTTGGTCCACGATGTAGGGGAGATGAAAATCGCCTGTTACCAGGTAGACAACAGCTCAGTTAACAGAATCTTTTTTTTTTGGTCAATTTATGACCTTTAGGATCAAACAAACAAAATGTTACCTTTGAGGACAACTCGTGCACCTTTAGAGTGAGCAAAACACATGAGCTCAGCATCATAATCTCCAAAGGCGGCCACAGTCGTCACCATGTTCCAGTTGTAGGACTTCCATGTTTTTCCACCCACATCAAATACAAACACCTAAAAACACAATTATGATCAAAAACTGAATGGGATGCTTTAAACCAGTAAAAGAAAAATAAATGAGTTAAAAAATAGATTTAACTTAAATTGTAAATAAAATAAATAATTTTGATTCAGGGTAAACAGATGTACGGTAAGTACAGCTGGAGCTTTGTTTGAGTTGGCAGAAAATCGGTTTCTAGTTCTGTGCAAACAAAAGGAAGTTGGTGTTTGCAGAAGTTTTACCTCAAACTCTCTCTCCTTCTGGATCTGCTGACACAGCTGTGGTGTCTCACAAGGACACACGCTGGACCCGCTCACAACCGCCAGAACCGATAGAAGAATCCACCAGGCCGACAACATTTTTGGAAACAACAAAAACTTCAGCAGTTCAAGAGGGAAGCTTATAAGTAGGATAGATCAGCCGACTGATCAGCTGATAAATGGTTGTATGGCTCACGAGAAGGGACAAAAACTACACATTGTGGAAAGGAAAAGCTATTTCCGGACAGTTGTCGCCCTCCTCTGGCTACGTAGGGTCATTGCAACAAATGCATTTTTAAAGATTCTTTGAAATTGTTTCGAGTCAAAACTGTTGCAGTCTTCTTCTTCTTCTTCTTCTTCTTCTTCTTCTTCTTCTTCTTCTTCTTCTTCTTCTTCTTCTTCTTCTTCTTCTTTTTAAAAACAGTGATTACAGTTTTTTTTAGATAAAAGAGGCCTAAATGGTTTTCCCAGAACCTGGGTGTAGTTCCAGGTTTTCACCACTAAAGAGAATCCAAAATAAACAGATTTATGAATGCTGGTAAAGTTGAGTTTCTTTTCAAAATCTGAAACTGTGTATATTTATTGGGTCATTTTTGTTACAGTCGACCCCCTTTAATGCCCCTGTAATGTTTTGTTGTGTTAAAACATCTGCCAGAAAATTGTCACCTTCTTCAATTCAGTTCAATTTCAAGTTTATTTATGTAGCGCCAAATCACGACAAGAGTCGTCTCAAGGCACTCCACATAGTAAACATTCCAATACAGGTCAGCTCATTAAGCCGATCAGTAAAACGTTTTCTATATAAGGAACCCAGTTTATAAACTGTAGCTGTCTTTTTTTATAATCTTGACTCTCCCATTTCAGTCAGAATTGACAAAGCTCCTCGGATGAGAAGGGAAACATCTTCAAGAAACCAAAGAATTCCAGTTGCCTTCATTTGAACACTTTTGGATTACCATGACCTGGATGACTGAGAACCTTCACCAGCATACCTCCTTACGTACATAAAATTGATGTTTCCTACATTTGTTAAATCGTTAATCTCCTGTAAGAAGATGTTATCACCTGTCTGCAGGCACCTCACAAAGAAGCCCGTTGAATTGCCCTGTGTCCGCACCTCTGAGCTGGAAGCAAGCCCCCACAATGCGGCTCAAAAACTGGTCCCAACCCGGAAGTACCAAAAATTGCAGTTCCACTCTCATCTGCTGGGGGCTGGTGTCAGAAGCGAGCAAATCCGCATTGACTCCCATGTTAAAAATACCAATTTCACAGCAGAAATAAACATGTTTACATCCTGGTACTGTAATGATAACAGCAAATCATTATTTGCTTAGTATCATGGGTTATGTTGTTAATACTCCTAGACGGTAGGGGGAGCCAGTGGGGACGCGGATGACCCGCGGTCTGGGACAGTAATGGCGAAGCTTGGTTGTTGCATGTGAGCCTGAGTTCGATAAAGTACCTTCTCTTCAAGTAATGGTGTCATTATTGAGAACCCACAACAATATAAGAAACAAGACAACAAATACAGACAGAAGGACAACTTCTTTCTTCTTTTATAATGCATTGCATCACCGCCTGGTATCAGAACAGGACTCAGTATTCGAAGATAATCAAAAATCAAACAACTTGGACTCAGATCAGGGGCAAAAATGTGGTTGTAATATCTCTAGATATAAGTCAGCTTTAAAAACTAAAACTATTATTTATGAACTAACATTAACACTAATGGCACTAATTGATATATTTTTATTATGTTGTTTGAACCCAAGGGTCTCATTATCTGAATTTTCTAACTTGTTGGATAAGTGCCCCCTTTTTTTTTTTTTTTTTTTTACTTTGAGAACCCGCCCCGTCAACGGTCTCTGCACGGCCCTGCTGGTGAGATATTCACCTCAGCATCTCGTGAGGCAAAAAACTCAGTAAAAATCAGGCGCACACTGCGAGCAATCTGCCGAGCAAATGATTATTTGAGGCCATTACTCAGCAGTTTGCTCTCGTGTGCGGCTGGCTTTAGTGGACATCAAAGATCTCAGCTCCAGTCAAAAGACAGAAACTGAGTCTCTACCATCAGTGAGCACAGCACAGGCCAATGTTTCTAGTGGAGGCGTTTCAAGAAGTTTGTTACAGCTGCATGTTTACACAACACAAGACATCGTGTGACAAGTAACCCCCCTCCACTAAAGACAAAGGAACTTACATGAAAAGACAGAACCTCTGTGGTCTGGAGGGGAGCACTGGGCCACCGCGGTGTCTGGAGACAGGCACCTCGGTGGTCCAGTGAGTGGACAACTAATCTGAAGTTAAACCAGTCACCGCATTCCCAAAACCTTATCTGAGAAATAAACAAGACACTCCAACCCCCAATCACACACACAAGATAAAAAAAAAACAAAAAACGGGGGCATCATGGTGGCACAGTGGGTAGCACTGTTGCCTAGCAGAAAGGTTGCTGGTTTGAATTTGAATTTAATTATTTGAATGGGACAATGCATATTAATGGGCGTACAAGATTTAAATATAACAGAATTAGCAAAGCTAGAAGAAGAAGAAGAAAATATCATTTCTATAGTGCCTCTCAAGATAAAAATCACGAGGCGCTTCACAAAAAACAAAAAATGTAAAAATATAAAAATCTTTATAAAATGGTTAAAAATATATTTAAAATGAGCACAAAAAAGACAATTGTGATTAAAAAAACTGTAAAGAAAGAGAGTGAATATGAAAGAGGGAAATCAGTGGATCCTGAAGAAGGTGGAATAGGTAGGGAGAGCAGAATAAAGAGAGATTGGTGAAGGTCAAAAGCCAGCTTGAACAAGTGAGTTTTCAGCTGCTAGTTTCCATCCGTAGTCCCAAGTAACTCTCATCAACTTCCTTTCAGCGTGGAGCTAGCGTGTTCTCCCCATGTTTGCATGGTGCCCCCCCCCCACAGGCCAAAAACACACGTTTAGGTCAGCTGGTTACTCTAAATTGGCCCTAGGTGTGAATGGTGGTGTGTCTAGGAGTCCCTGTGATGGACAGGAAATGTCCAGTGTGTCCCCTACCTCTCAAACAGTTGCTAGTTAGTGCCACCAGCTCCCCACAACGTTTGTTTAGAAAATGAATAAATGAGAAACAAATCTTAAAAGTTATCCCCCACCCTCAGTCAGTCGTGGCAGACGGCTGCTCATTCTGAGCCAGGTTGTGTTGGAGGTTTCTTCCTGTTAAAAGGGAGTTTTCCTCTCCGCTGTCGCTACATGTTTGCCCAGTATGAGGATTGCTGTAAAGTCCCTGACACAACGAGTCAGTGACTCCATGCAATCCGCTGGGTTTCCTTAGTTAGGAACCTTTTAACTAATTAGCATTGTGAACTGAACTCAATGCACTGTTGAATAAGTAGGTTCAACTAGAATGTTTGCTTTGTAAAGTGCTGTGAGATGATCTGGATTGTGAATTTGTGCTAAACAATAAAATTAAATTGAATTCAAGTGAAATCACCAAACTTTAAATCAAAGAAAGATTTAAGAAATCACAAAACATAACTCATCTTGAATCAGGCCTAAACTGATTAATAAAGGTTTGTTTTTCCTGCATCCTGAGGTCATTTCTAGATTTCTTGATGCAGGTTTTGCTTTTCCTCGTCAAAACAAAAAGTCAAAGGCACTGGTAATGGTACTCTCAATGAGACGGGGTTCGATTCCCTGTGGTGCCCTGCTGATTGTTCTGACATAAACAAAAGTATTTTATTGTTAACTTACATTTTGACACTTTTAATGCTCAAAACATTCCATTATTAATGAGTGAGCAGTATTTTGTTAATAGGGTTAACTGCAGTGTTTCACACAGAAGTTAATGACCAAACCCGTTAATCCCTGTAACCCTAATTGCAGCACTATAAATTTTCAGTAAGGTTACATTTTCTGAAGTTAAGGAAATTGAGATATGTGATATACCAGCATCAACTTCGCTATCGGCCAATGTTAGCATCGGTGATTAGTAAGCTTGGGACGGTATTAACAACCAATAATTAGCTCCTTGTGACAGTGATAATGGTGCAGCACAGTGACAGGACTGCAGACGTTTTACAAAAGCAGAGATGCAACATAGGCCAGTGGAAAGTGGAAAGAAAAAATAGTATAATAAAAATATTGGTGGATATTGATTAGCAACAATAAACAGTAATAATATCGGAATTCTACAATCCCCCAAGTTTTCATATTGATGCATTTCTATTAGGGAAACACATTTTTTTAAATTAAATTAACAACCTAAATGTAATTTTGTTCCTCTTTTTTCCCAAAGTGAGCAAATATTGGTGATCTTCTTCTTATTATTATTAATTTTATTTTATTATTATTAATAACTTTATTTATAATAATAATAATAATAATAATAATAATAATAATAATAATAATAATAATAATTCTAGGCCCCACTCACTTGTTACAATGATGAAAACTCTGTATGCCCCGCCCCCTAATTTGCATATCCTTTGTGACGTCATCGATCTCCGCCTATAAAAGGGCCGTGTGCACCTTCCTATTTCATTAGTGAGGAACCACTGGTGAGGCACACATCGACTTCTGCGAGACTCGAGAACTTTATGTGTGATAGACCAACAAACAGCTCTAAAATAATGTACATTCTGCAAAGAAATACTCCATCTGGGAATGTCCAGCCTCAATCTTCTGGAGTTACACAACAAAATGATGACCTTTCAGCAAAGCTGAAAGACGTCGAATCAATGCTGGCAATGACGGACGAATGGTTCCAAACTGAAAAAGATAAACGGATTAAGGCTGAGAACGACTGTAAGAAGTTCCAAGTTTACATTACTCAGCTAGAACAGGGACTGGATCATTACCAGAATACTACAGAGACCTGTCAGAGAAACGTGGAAACTCTACAAGAGCAGCTGTGGCAAAGTGAACGCTTTTGTGAAGATCTCCAAAGACGGTTAGACCACGAATCGCGGCTGAGATTCAAGCTACAGCGGGAGAAGAAAAACAAGCCAAACGACTCCATTTGTGAGAAATTAAGGATAGAAATTCATGAATTAGAACAGGGCTTGGATTATTATCAAAATAAGGTAGAAAAGTTTGAAAAACATGAGCAGGATTTACAAAATCAGCTTCTGGAAAAAGAAGCGTTGTGTGAAAATCTGCAGCTGAGATTAGAACAGGAGTCCCAGCTGAGAGTCCAGTTAGAGCAGGAACAGAAAATCAGTCTG